GGGCGTTTTATGTGAACCCTGCAAACGTGCTGAAGAGACAAATGTTGCCAAAGTTTACTGTAGAGAGTGCAAGGATAGTTTATGTGAAAATTGTCTTACATTCTTTCACAAGCGCATTCGCCACTATGAATGCCACACAGTTATGGACATTTCGAGGTGTCCGCAAGAAATTTTGATGAGAGAAATGTCCGATGTGGAAGACTTGTGCATGATTCATAAGACAAAAGCCCTAGAAGTGTACTGCTTTGACCATCAAGTTCTCTGCTGTAGCATTTGCTTTGCTACACAGCATAGAAAATGTAATGAAGTGAAGTCACTTGATGAAGTTGCAGAGGAAATGGGTGAAAATATACCTTTAGGTAGTATTGATTCTGCACTGACCTCGATAAAAACAAATGTGGTCGCAGAAGCTGAAACTACCATGAAGAATTGTAAAGATCTTGAGGATAAGCACAAAGAAATTAAAGAAACAGTTGTTAATCTTGTTGAAGAAGCCAAGTGCAAGCTGGATACACTACGAGACAAGTTTCTGAAAGAATTTCAAATTATACATGATGATGAGATGGCTTTATTGTTGAACACACAAGCATTTTTGGATGGATTTTCAAAGGCTCTCTCAAGATCTGAAAAAATACTGAGTTTTTCTGCTTCCAGTGGTAATAGGCGACAATTGTTCCTAACAGTAGAAAAAATTAAGATGGAAGTGTCGAATCATTTGGATCAGCTGAATAAACAAATCAAAAACCAAAGTCAAATTGATTATCAATGGAAGGAAAATTCAATTATCAAGAGTCTTTTTGAGAAAAACAGTCTTGGAAATCTTGAAATTCATAAGACAAAGAGAAGCATAATTGATAATTTGAGAAAAGAAGTGGATTTATTTAAAAAGACCACCAGTTTACCAAAGCCACAGAAACCTCTACCAGAAAAAAAATCACCACCAGTCAGCAGTGCAAATAAAGAGACATTGAGTGAGTCAACTCTAAGACAGTCAGCTAGTGCAAGCAAAGTAAACACAAACCAAGAGACATTTGGTGTGTCAACTCCAAGACAGTCAGCTAGTGCAAGCAAAGTCAATATAATCAAAGAGCCATTGAATTGGTCAACTCTGAAACAGTCAGCCAGTGCAAGCAAAGTCCACAAAAACCAAGAGTCATTTAGTGTGCCTACTCCAAGACAGTCAGCTAGTGCAAGCAAAGTTCACACAATCCAAGAGATTTCATGGACATCGAATGGACCAACTCTGAAACAGGCAGCTGGTGTGAGCAAAGTCAATACCAACGTGATAAACCAGGAGACATTGAATATGCCAACCTCAAGACAGACAACTAATGCAAGTAAGGTCCCGTCAAGTGTGTTAATCCAAAGAAAACCGCTGAGTTCAAATCAAACACCATTGAATAAAATTGATTCTGGTTGGTTTGATCCACTGCTAGCCAGCAACTGTGAAAACCACAGGTACCATGCTCATCAGACTGAAGGGAGGAAACAATTATGTTTTGATGACTTTGAAGTGGTATCATAACATGGGCTGACTTTCAAATTTCATATGAAGGGTCTGACATTTTTGATTTTTATATGCTGAGGAGGAGATGCCAAAAAAATTCCTCCAGTGTTTCAATAAAAACATGGAAATTCAGAACTTGCTTGTTCAGGAAAAACAAGTATCATAAAAGTGACTACATGTATTTGGTTTTTTGCTCTCACCATGCTCAGTTTTGATTCTATGTACCATCAGTTCACAGGACAGATATTCTGTGTTGTAGAAAACCTTTTTATTTTATCAAATGCTACCATCAAGTTTATAAACTGCATATGGTATTCTTTGATTTGTCTGACATATATTTGGATTCAGTGTAGTTTAAAATCCACACAGAAAAAAAAAATCAAAATTCTATATCTGTGAGTTACTGAGTTCAATTTGTGTCAATAATTTTCAAAAAGTGAATTGGAAATGTTTTGTTACTGCATTAAAATTGATGATTTCATTAAGAAAATAAAAAGAATTACAATGAAGATAAAAAGTATTTTCTTTCTTGTACATTTGAATTATTAAAAAATTCAAAGAATTGTGGTCCCCCGCTTTCGGTGTCTTTTTGGGTGAGATGTCTTTTTTATGGCATTTTGTGTCTAATATGAATGCCCTATCATAAGTCATCTATGTAGAAATTATCACCGAACTCCAAGGTCAAGGTCAAAGGGTTAACGTTCTTGGTATCCAATGAAAAGTCTTCTCAAAAGGATAACATATCTTCTCAAAAGGATAATATATGTTAAGTATGAAAGCCATAGCCCTTACCATTCAAAAGTTATGGTCATGGTTAAAGTTTTCTCATAAGTACAAAAAATCACCAAGGTCAAGGTCAAAAGGTCAAGGTTGTTGGTGTCAAATGACAGGTCTTGCCACAAAGAATACATATTAGGTGAAATATGAAAGTCCTGGTATCTACTGTTCAAAAGTTGTGGCCAAGGTCAACGTTTTTGAAAAGTAGGTCAAACTCAAAGGTCAAGGTCAAAGGGGCAAAGTTCTTGGTATTCAATGAAAGGTCTTGTCACAAGAATTATATATATGAAGTATGAAAGTCCTAGCCCTTACCATTCAAAAGTTATGGTCAAGGTTAAAAGTTTTTTCAAAAGTATTGAAATCTCAAAGGTCAAGGTCAAATGGTCAAAGTTGTTGGTATCCAATAAAAGATCTTGCTACAAAGAATACATATGTGAAATATGAAAGTCCTAGTACCTAACATTCAAAAGTTATGACCAAAGTAAAAGTTTGAATTTTTTGTGTAAAAGTGGGTCAAATGTCAAGGTTGAAAGGTCAAATTTGGTGGTACCCAAAGAAAGGTCTTGTCACAAGGAATACACATATGAAATATGAAAGTCATAGCTTCACTGAATCAAAAGTTATGGGCAAGGTTAATGTTTTTGTGACGGACGGACAGACAGACAGACGGAGAGACGGACAGACAAATGAGATTTAATGTCCCCTTGCTTTCGCGAAAGCAGGGGACAATAACTGTTGCAGGACCCATAGGGCTCAAGTTTTATTAAAACAATGCAAAGTAAGAATTCCAGTTAGAGTATTTCTAATGAGTATATTAGCTGATAAAATGAGTATAATGAAGGAATTTTAAAAAAAATTTAAAACAGTTATCGAACAGGAACACTATACAGTGGAGTCTCATTTATCCTGACACTTTGGTTCCAAGTCAAAATTGTGCGATGAGGTAAATCATCCAGATACCTGAATTGCCTTGATTTTAGTTTATATGCAAGGACTGTTTTTTAAGCATTTGTCTAATATCTATGACAAAAAAAATCAAAGGAAACAGAATAAATAAATGAAACTTTGTTATCTCAAACTCAATGGAATGGAGGAAAAAGATCAAGATAATCAAGAATTCAAGTTAAAGAGGGTGAATTATTTGATGAATAAGTGTGTAGGGCTTCCAAATCACTTCTACATATTCATGGTATTCAAGATATTAGTTTTTGAAATAGAGTATATAGTTCTACTGTATATATGAGCAATGATATCCAAGAAATACTGAAGTTTTCTTCCCATTCTTTTGGAGAAGTCAAGCATAAAACTGCAAACTTTATACAGGAATTACACTATTTGGAGATCATTTATAAACATGGAAAAGAAGAGATCTGTTTACAAATATAGGAAATTGCATTTAAAGAGCTTGATCGTAAGTATATTTTTCATCTGACACTAAATAAAGGTTTATGGCTACCCAAAAAAAAAAAAATTTAAATTTCATCTTACACCCTATGCACCAGACTCCTTCGTGTACTTAACACGTATATGAATACATATTACAAACACTTCAACATTTTAAATTGTTATAATCAACAGACATTAGAAACAGTAAATGCCAACAATGGATCCCTGCCACTAGAGCCAAACATAGCTTTAATTCCAATGGTGATGTTGCTGCTTTAGTGAAAATGAAAATCTCAGTAGGTCAATCTCTCATTTTTCCCTGCAATAATTGGAGAAACTTTTAGACTATCTTTGACTGATGGAGAATATATACTTGCCACCATTCTGAAGACTCTTTTTCCTTCAAATAACCATTAACAGTCATCATTATATAAAATGATTTTATTACTATGTGTGTACTTTTAATACAACAAAAATGGCAACAATAATAGATTCTAACAATATCTTTTGTTCCAACCACTATAACATCATTCTGAACATAAAGGATTTGCATATTATTTAAAGACTGCATATTTCAGAGTAAACTGGACATTTGATCATTAAATGATGATATACTATTTTGTATAAAATACATGCAACTTACAACAACCTTAAAGCTTGGAGCACTATTCAGACATGAAAAAAAATAAACAAGAATATCACAGAGAATATCAAAGAAAAAAAAAACTTGCACAGACCTATATTCGTACATTTAAATCTTTAAATGAGGCTAAAACATATCTAATACAATCATCATTTATACAATCTCACCTGATCCTTCACAAACTAATACACAATTATGTACAGAGCTCTCGTATGTTCAATAAAGAAGATCATTTCTACCCTTTTAACGCAACAGGTCGCGTGAAATGTTAATAATCAAAATCAGTACATGTATACAGTAAAAACACTCTTATAGCAAACATGCTTATACTAAATGAATTTTTATGCTTACAGCATAGTGATTATCACTCTCCTTGGTTATAACAAAATACTGTGTACTTAACAGATGTAACAACTGAAATTACTTTTATAACAAAGCAAAATTGTCTGTCCCTGGCACCATACTATATACATGTATGCATGTTTTACTGTTCACAGGACCAGACATCATCAATTCTTTAATGTCCTATATCATTTAAAATGACTCTTTCTGGTAGAACTTATTTTAAAAAAAAAATTTCAAGCCCAGCAACAGAATCTTATAAAGCTTCTCATTAATTCATTTACACATGATTTAATATCCTGATATTTTACACAAATATTCCAGGAAATGAATATTTTTCTCGTACCAAAATTTAAATCTCTTGGACAAGCAGGTGCTGTCACCAAAAATGTTCTAAAATCTTTGGACAATTTGCTCACAAGATTGATTTGTATTTGCATGCAAACATGACCCAGGTTGCAACTGCGTTTTCAGGGTAGGGGTAAACTTTCACTCTTACACCCAGACGGACATGATCTCCTCGACAGTTGATGATTTCCTCACATACAGGAGACCTATAATTAGAGATGAAAAATATTGAAATAAGAAACTCTTTCCTGTTTTTATTTCATACAAGTAAAACAAGAGGCCCATGGGCCACATCGCTCACCTCAGAAACTTTGACCAGTCTGTTCTTTACCAGATTTCCCCCTTGTAATTCATATTGTGACCCCACCCTACCCCACTGACCATAATTAAGACAATTTGAAATCTACACTACCCCAGGATGCTTCCACATAAGTTTCAGCTTTTCTGGCAGAATGGTTCTTGGGAAGAAGAAATTCAAAGATATTTCCTAAATATTTTTATGTAAAACTTTGATTCCCCAATGTGGCCCCGCCCTACCCCCGGGGGTCATGATTAGAACAATTTATAATTCACACTACTCCAGGATGCTTCCACATAAGTTTCAGCTTTTCTGGCCTAGTGGTCCTTGAGAAGAAGATTTTCCTATACAATTCTATGTAAAACTTTGATTCCCCATTGTGGGCCCGCTCTACCCCCGGTTGTCATGATTTGAACAATATAGAATCTACACTATCCCTGGATGCTTCCACATAAGTTTCAGCTTTTCTGGCTTAGTGGTTCTTGAGAAGATTTTTAAAGATTTTTCCTATATATTTCTATGTAAAACTTTGACTCCCCATTGTAGCCCCACCCAACCGCCGGGGATCATGATTTGAATAATTTAGAATCTACACTACCCCAGGATGCTTCCATATAAGTTTCAGTTTTTCTGGCCCAGTGGTTCTTAAGAAAAAGATTTTTAATAACCCCACCCTATTCTTGTCTTTTCTTGATTATCTCCCCTTGTGAGGGGACTTGGCCCTTCATTTTAATAATTTAAATTCCCCTTCATCCAAGGATGCTTTGTACCAAGTTTGGTCAAAACTGGCCCAGTGGTTCTTGAGAAGAAGTTGAAAATGTGAAAAGTCTACAGACAGACGGACAGATAGACGGACGACGGACAAAATGTGATCAGAAAAGCTCAGGTGAGCTAAAAAACTACAATAATAAATGGTATTTGCTTAATAAGTTAACAGAGGGTACTTTCTTGCATTGTAAATCTCTGTTTTCATAAATGTAAATTATGACATATCCTTTGACATGTTCTGTGAAAAACTTTAAATGACTGCATTTTTTAAAAATGTAAATGATATTAACACTACATATCGTCTGTTTTCACAAAAGCAGTACATGTATTTAGTATCTTTACAAAAATGAACTTTTAAAAAAAAGAATTACCATTGTCAAATGTACACACATTTCAAAAGAATTCATTAACAGTGGATGTGCTGTCAAAGAAATCAGGAAAATCAAAATGTCTTACTTCAAACATGTGGCAAAAGCTCGCTTGGCATTTCTGTGAGAGAACTGGATGGGATAGCCCTTAAATGTATGGCCGTCTGGTACAGCCTGCTTGATGGAGTCTTGGAATTCTTCATTCCCTGCTGTTATTCCTACATGAAGAAAAAGAAGCAAAAATGTATGGGCTACTAGATAACAAGACATTTCTAAGGCTTTAAAAAAATCCTTTGATCCAGGAATAAAGATTGGAGCACTTAGTTCAGTACTGTCCCAGTGATTCTCCCACTGCTACGATTCTCTGAACATTGACTAATACATCCAAATATATATAAATCAGCTTTCTATTATTGTAGATTCAAACATTATTCCCCCCCTCCTTATTTCAATACAAAATGCAATTTCTCAGGACAGTGTACTCCTCTCATTCTAAAAACAAATTATATAGAAGTCTTTTCACAACAGTAAAACAAACACATATAAATAGTAAACATAATGAATTCCCTCCAAACTGTTCACAGTATAATAATCTAGGGGAATAATTTTCCAGGGTATTGTACATTTTGTTCAGCATCATAACCAATAGTTAAGAATTTTCACCAAAAATTTTAAAGGACATCTGATATCAATTTATTTAGTTGAACACTGTAATGTTCCACTTATACATGTATGTACAACATGTACAATACAAAATAACACTATATACCTGTGACTCTCTCCAGTTCATATGCTGCTAATGCTGGTGTTAGGAGATAGCTAAGCTGGTCATCAAAATTGGTGGTCAGCCCCAAATCCTACAAATAAATTCTCTTCTTTATTCAAATGTTTTTTAAATGGTTGTTAAAAGTAATTTATTTGTATTTTTCTTTAAAAAAAAAAAAAGCTTGGATTTGAAATTTTCACAAGCAACTATGGACTAAAAGTCAATTTAATGTTATTTGAAAAAGCATCCATTTTTCATTTACCCCTTAAATACAATTAACCTAAATCAATGTTCCTCAGAAAACCTACCCTCCTGTGTTCATACACCATGACCCGTAACTGTTGTTCCAGGTCATTGCTGACGAGGGAGGAGTCCAGGCTGGAGGCACACAGAGGGGGCATGGTCGGCCACGTGGGGGAGGTTCCCGGCCCACACACAGAGAGGATGGCATCCTGGGACATGGATTTCCAGTCTGCCTCATTACTTAGGTTAAATCTGCACACCTCCACTGAATCTGATGGCTAAAAATTTACAGGTAATTACTATATGAATATTTATTATGGGCAAGCATATATATTTATATATACATGTATGTAATAAATTTTTATTCTCTATATACTGTAGGTATGAAATACAGGTATAAATGTACCCTTATAAAGTTGCTACCCTTTTTCATGCAATAAGATTAGCTATGGCTAGATTTACATTACTTTAATGCTTGATATGCATAGAACACATGCATAATGCTTGTTTAAAATTATTCAATTGCAACATCCCTTCAGTACATTTAAGGAGGTTGATTTAAAAAAATATTCTTTATTAAAAATCACAACAATCAAAATTGTGAATCTATAGTTTTCTCAAACTTCAAATCTACATATGCAGGGACTATAAACATAACACACCTGGTTATTTGCATAGAATGACACATGATTGAACACACATCCAACTGTCTTGTAAGGGTATTTTGGACGATGCTGTTTGTCCATAGGTGGAGCATTTGGGTCAATTGGTAGATGTATGTACCTGATAAAACAAAGTGGAGGTAAAAACTTCCGAGGAATTTTTTAAGTGGCTCAAATAATGGTAGAACAATAATTGTTTGAAGGGGTGACATCCCTTTGGAAGCATAATTCTGTACATTTAAAGTATTGCATTGCAAAAACTCACTAAAAATTCAAAGCGACATAGTGTTATTTATAACAATTGTTTATTTTTCCAAATTCACTTAAAATATAAAATGTACAAATGATACGGTATCAAATGCAAGTCTTGGAGAAATCTGTTTTGTATATGCTTGCATTACCTGATGTTTTGATTCAACCATAAACTTATCAACAAATAAAATAAGAGCTACATAAAGCATAATCAGAGTTCTATTGCCTCCCCCACCCCTAATACCTGTGTCCATTGAGACTCTCCCAGAAGACAATAGTCCCCTCCACACTGATGGTGACAACCCAGGCATGGACAGCACCCTTAGATTTAGTTCCCACGCAGACATAGGCATCCAGTCCAAAGCCCAGGAGAAGACTGCAGAGTAGCGTAGCATGATCCTCACAGTCCTACAACACATACATAGAATAAAGGAACAAGGTGTCGCAGCCCTACAGTACATACATGTGCATGTACATAGAATAAGGGAACATGGAACAGTTACTGGACTGACTTCCATAAGTTTGTCTCTTTGACATGAAATAGAGTACCTGTATGTGTAAGTGGATTGGATTTCAAAAATATTTAGCATCAGCATTTGAAAGACATAGTTTTGCTTTACATGGTTACTTAATATAAGATTTCTCTCTGAAGAAACACTTAAACAGCTGTTTAACCCGCAAATTGTGGATGGAACTTAAAATTTACATGTAGTCGATTCTAAAGGGCAGGCTCATTATCACGCATATTTAATGTAAATGGGTGAACATTTTTTCCAGCACCTTCAATGACAGTAGTTACCTACCCCTTTGTTTCTACACAGGAAAGCGTGGACACTACTCCACTGTTCTGTTCTCCCCCCGGCCCCTAGGGACTGGATTTTCTCATGGTGTATGAGGCTGACAAATCTTGCTGCATGTCTAGCAGAATCTAGCAGTCGTCCTCCCCTTAAAGGCTTCAGGTACGAGTTGACTGGTCTGTTCACCATGTTCTCATCCTACATGAAAGAATAAAATGATGATTTGTATGTCTCATTTCAAAATTTTAAACAAAATAACATTTTTTTTTTAATTTTAAAGTTTCATTCATAAGATAGGACGTTGTAACTTTGCATGGTAAATGTGTTCTTACAAATAGTTAAAATGTGTGTTATGCTAATTGAAAATTGAATCAGGTTCGAACCTACATGTAGCAAACTGTGCAAGAGGATCAAAGGACATAATTTTAAATCAGACTGACTATTATAATTTTCAAATCTCTTTGTACTTTCACAAAGAACAAGACAAATTCATTTTCCACTCTTCTTCAATAAAGTTCAGCAGACCATCTTAAGTGGCCATGTAAATCAAAGGTTTTAAAATTGACTTTTTTATCTTTTACATTTCTGGTACTTTCACTTATGAAACTGCCAAACATAAAATTTTTCATTCTTCTTCAGTAAAGTTCATCTGACCAACTTCAGTGAAAGTACATGTATTTACACATCACGCGGCCTTACCTCAGAGTAAAATAACATGTAAGACGTAAAAATTTCTTACCTGAGCAAATATTTTGACCAGTCTGTCTTGGTGAGCTGGTCTGATCTGGAGGTACTCCTTCCACCATTGTTTGGCATACACTAAGAACAGACGTTCCCTTTCTGCCTGTCTGCTTTTTTCAAGGCTTATCTGAGCAGCCACAACATCCTGGCCAAAATTTTTTGTAGATTTGGGAAAAAGTTCCATCATAATTTCAATGACTCCTGCTGGCACCTTGCTTTCATTTCCTATGAAATTTGGAAAAAATAAGCACAAGTGAATATTTGATACTGTGGAAAAAAGTAATCTTTAAAATACATATTACCCAGCAATTGTCCATGTATATACTACATGTATATACCAGGTTATTATAGTGACCAATAAATCTTTCTAAAAAATTTAACCACATCATGGTCTAAAAACTCACTAGTATATAAATAGCTAGATTCAGGTTATTTTTTTATTTTTTCAATTTTGCATATTTTTTTATTGACCAATAAATTTTTTTAAAAAATAGTAAAGGTTCAATTATCTCTTACTTCACATCATCACCGATCTTTTTCAACCAATGACCCTTGTTTAAAATATATACTGTACTACAGCAATTACCATCTTTTTAGCTGTCAAAATCAATTGCATTATTTTTAAGGATTAAGACGAAGAGAAACAGGAATAAAAAAAAATCGAGGCGGGGGTATATAACCGGGGCGGGCGATGCATATTTTTATTATGGCCTAATAAATAATTGCATTATTTTTAAGGATACACCAAGATGCATTTTACTAACACTTTAACATGCTCTACTGATAACCTTATCCGATTTTTTTTAATGCTGCCTCTTTAGCATTCCTTACCAGTTCCTTTGAGCTCTAACATCATGGACATTCTGTTTCCTGAGGAGGCCAGCACCGTTCTCCACTCAAAGAAGTTGGAGGACACCAGACTGGTCTCTCCCAAGGCTTCTGTCTTAATCAGGACGATGTGGATAGGGTCACTGATGGATAACATGGTGCTAGCATCTGCCATCTTTCCTGCTTCTCCTATAAATTTAAAGATGATTAACATATAATTTTATTTACACCTTTGACACTTCTTCAATCCATTCAAATTTCTCAAATCCTAGTGCTTTCCTTTCTTCAAGTGTTTCAGAAACTAGACCAATTTCCAAATAGAAACTACAGTTAAACTTTGGTATCTCAAACACTGATATCTCAAAATACAATGGATATGTTGAAAGAATGAAGTCCAACCACTTATTTATGAAGTATTTTATCCTCAATATCTTGAACATCTTGAATACTGTAATAAATTGAGTTCAACATAACGAGGATTGACTGAAATTCCATACACTTTATATTAGAACAATACATGTTTACTAACAACTTGAAGCACCTTACCAGATGACTCTTTGTGGAGTTCTAGCAGAAAACCTTCATCAATGGTAGGTTCACATGCACAGGGAATGGGGCGGGATTTGAACCGCTGACCTCGGAAGTAAATATGAAATGTGAAGAAGGAGGACACTTGTCCAGGCATGGGGTCACTTTCATCAATGTGCTCCAAGAATGCTTTCCCGCCTTTTATTTGAAAATAAACATATCTCCTGGTCGGATCTATGTTCACTGCAAAATAATTGAAAACATGGGTACATGTATGTGTCGCATGGAAATCAGATACATGTATATGCTTTTTTCCTCTGTCTTAATTCTGCAGAATCATAAATCTATTCAATCTGGAAGTAGAATACTATATACTGTATACAGGGTTATTTTCATCTTGTGTTATTTTTGCCCTTTCACACTTGCAAATAATTTTGCCCCGTTTTAAATTTGCCCAGTCACAGTTTTGTGTAAGAAATTATATGAATTAGCCCCGTTTTAAATTCACCCGCCTGTGAGTAGGGTGAAAGGGGCGAAAATAAAACGGGGGCAAAAATTTCCCTGTATACAGTAACTCAGTTTTCTTGGAATGCAACTGTTTGTCTCTAACATGTATAAGACTTATCAATCAGTTCAAGAGAATTCTAAACTTTAATATTTAAATTAAGAACTTCTATTTCAAAACAAAATCAAGCATTCACATTTACCTTTCTTTGTGGGAAGCTGTGTCACTTTATCATCTTTGTCCAAGAAGTGAGTTGCTGGGGTTGTGCCCCCTTGTTGACCTCTGAACTGCAACTGATGCAGAATGTCATCTACAAGTCCTTGTTGTTTCAGCTTATGTAGAAGTTCCTCTTCTCCCACTTTACCATGCTGGCCCATAAAGTCATGCTGTATCGTATCAGAGAGAATGTCTCGGATTTTATTCTGTATGTCCATCTATAATGACAAACAATAACATCTGATGCAATCACGACCTTTTATTATCGAAACACAGTTTAGGTAACCCTTTTTTGGTCTTTGTTTAATTCCATTGCAATATAAAAAGCAATTAATGATTAATATGATTAAAGAATTATTTACATTAATCATACATGCCAACTTTTGAAAATTTTCTTGGGGGAGATTGCACGTAACGACCTTTTTTGAGGTTCCTAATTCGCAGCATTTTGACGTGAAAAATAACTATTTGTAGGTCTTTTTTTTTTTTTAAATATTAATCTACTACCTTGTATCATTATCACTACTTCAAAAAGTGTTTTCTTCTCTATCAACTTCAACAAAAACACAAATACAATATCATTTGAAATTTAAAAAAAAATATTTTATTCAAAATTATCTAATATGTTAATAAACATGCACACAGTCTTAAAGAATGTGATACACAAACAAATTATTACATGAATAAGGATGTTAAACTTTACAAATGAGCTGAATCAAGTTAAGTTTATAAATGCAGTTACCATGTGGTTACTGTTTATTGTCTGTTGGTAATTTTTATAAGGCTGCTGTCACAGACACAATGTCATAATTATTTTTTTTTATATTAAAGGGAACATTAAGAAGACACTCTGAACTTTTTCATTCAAAGTCTGCAAAGGCATGGTCTTCCTTTTGTCTTTTTATGTTGGATTTTGGCAGTGTCTTTTCCATGAAGTAGATAATTTACTAAGAATTAATGCCATATTTCCCAAACTTGATACCTTTTATAAAAGATTTATACGTTTATTGTCAAATTTTGCTGTAAAGTGTGAACTCTCACAAGTTTGTCAGTTTGTATCCTGTCGTGTGTATTTCTAAAATTTCCACATCTGGCGTAATTGTCTAGGTTAAAATTCACTGTTAATGGGAATCGGAAGCAATTAAAACCACTGTAATGACTGGTAGCACAGTTGACACCATGTTGATTACCTTTTATCAGCAGCAATAAACAGATATCCTACCGATAAACATTGAAACAGCCATGTTTTCTGCACAAGGAAATACTGTATTATTCAAAGCGAATCGGTAAAAAATCCGGATTTTCGAAAAATCGGTAGAAATGGGGGGAAAAAATAAATCCATACACAAGCGGTAGACAGGGTTCAAAATCGGCAGACTCCCCAAAAAAATCGGGAAAGTTGGCATGTATGATTAATTTGGTATAATTAACATGTAATCACATAGTTAGAATAATCTAACTGTGTCTCGGTACAAGCCCTCACCACAGTTAGAATACGTCCCATATACTTGCAATGTAGCAGATCGGAGCGGATCCGCTCCGAAACGATTTTGAAGAATATAAAATGATTTGCACTAGGAATAACTACCAAAATAATTAAAACAAACCTTTTTGAGATTGCTTATGCCTTTATCCCAAAAAATAATCCATCTAAAGACGAAAATCCAATTAATTTTCTCAACGTTTTTCTCTCGATTCAAATTACCTCCATGTTTACATTCGGAACTCTCTAGATTGTTCCTAGTAAATGCACTATGCGAGTTATCGCCCGTGTTTCTTTCTGCTACATTACGAATACATGGAACGAATTCTATCGTTAAACCGGGTCCGTAGGACAATATCATTTTAACGATAGAACATTCTATCTAGTAATCACACAAAGGCGTGATTAATCAAGATTACAAGTCTTATTAATATATGATCAAGAAGCCATGGGTATAAGAAAGCTATGAGCAGGCTCTGGACACTGGTTTGAGACGATGCTGTTTTGACAAAACAAGACAAAATATCAAAAGATTTGAGGTAGTTACTGTATTTTTACACATTCATTCTCACAAATTAGTCATGGGGGATATTAAATCAAATTACAGAACTTATTAGTATTACACAGAAGTTTTTCATACTATTTAGATAACATTTTGCAAGATTTATAACAGATAAGTATAATCTAACATATTTTTACTCTGCTTGCAAATACAAGCAGCAGCATGTCTGTATGTCAGTCCAGACAGCTCGGATTTCCTCTTTTTTATACCTGATTTAGCTGAGAATGGATTATTTGCTTAAGCTCTGTGATTTTCTCGGGTGGAAGAGACATTTTGTCCTATAAAACTCCGTATGACAAGGAACAATTCAACAAGTTCTGCATGTGTTTCACTTTGCATTCGTTTGTTTTTCACCGCTTCACGCCTGCGCAAAATTAAGTCGATCCCGATCCAAAACAACTCCATTTGTCGGGATCGGAATTCGGAATGGGAAAGAAAATCTTCGCACTCGATGCGAAGATGAGAAATCCTATTTTTTCATGTTTCAGAAGAGAAATATGCAGAAAAAACTTAAGGTTCTTTCAGACAGCATGCTCCAGTTCTACTGCACCTTCAGTAGTTTCGTTTTCTGAGGTGAAATGCAAAGTAAGAATAATGTTTATGCATTTTCGAATTGCCTCTGCACTATAAATGTTGCGTAAGGTTTAAATAATAAGTTAAATAAAGAAAAATATATGGCTTTGACCACTCTTTGTCATTTTTTATGTTTTGTAAGAAATTGTAAATGTAAATAAAACTGATTTCATTATCTCATTTTTACAAAATCATTTTTTCACTACATTGCAGAGATGTGCTGAAAGACAGATATGCCACTCTTGGTCAAAGATAATAACAGCGAGGACATACCTACAAAGAAAAGATTTGCATACTATTCAGTATAGTGGTAATGCATTTATATAATTTTTCTCGTGTATGTCATATGTTTTGAATTTTAGTACAATATGCCACCATATGTGACCGTTTGGATGAGCGCAGATTCACTTAGCTAAGTTACACTTATCCAGTAATGCGATTCAATGTGCTTTAAGTTTTCCACTTAATCGTGCTGAAATTTGCACATTAACTTCAGTTTTGAGGTCTTTCAGAAACAGGAAAACGCAAACTTTAGATTCAGTTTTCATGAGAACCACATTAATTTTGTTTTGATATTTGCAGTTAAAACATATCACCTCTCCACTTTAAAGAATTATGGTCACCGTGGCTTTTTTCATTCACAGCAAGGCCCTAATCAAGAACAGAACATTTTGGAAAACATGCAAATAAAAATGCGGAAAGTGATAAGTTAAATCTGTTCTTGAAAAAAAAACACTGTAGACCAATCACATCCCACATTAAATCTATAATGCAATGTTGAGCAAATGTAGTGGGCTACTAATAATGAACTTCATCAACCTGCATGAAAGAATATCAGATTTGCAAAACACAATTTATATGATTCTCAAATGCCCCTGATGATATTTTTTATTAAAGAGTAATCAGGCTAGAGAGGTAGATCAATTCACTCAGACACAAACATATTTAAAATGTTTAGAGGTTAATACAGTACTGACCTGACACAACCTAACAGAAAGCGAACAGAAAGAGAACCTGTAGTGCACCCCCTGGTATGCTCTCCGGGTCCGCTTCGAGTTTGCTTGGGGTATGTTAGGGCTGACCAGGAGTGCACCCGTAGCAGACCCAAAGCAGCGAACCTAGAGCGAACACCGAAAGTGAACACCAAGCGATACCAGAAAGCAAACACATGTTGAGCTGACCCAGAGTGAACCCTAAGTACACTCAAGGCACATATAAAGCTGACTCAAGATTTCTGAAAGCGGACCCTAAGTGAACCCCGAGCAAACCCAGGAGTGAATCGGGCTGCCCTCTGGTGTTAGGTTGTGTCCATTCGGTACCGTACAATGTACATTTTTTCTTTAAAAAACTCGAGTTTTTTTTTTTTTTGGCACTTTTCATTCAGGTACCATGTTTTTGTTTTAGCTAGGAGAAACTTTAGTACCACTTGTATAAAGTTGGATAAAGAAAATGAGAAAAAAGATGAAGGAAAAGAAACCCAGCAGTCAGATGAAAGTGATCCCAAAAATGAAAAACAAGGAAAAGAGGATAAAAGTCAAGATGTTTACGAACTAGGATTTTTAGATGGTGAGAAATATTTAAAAAATTTTCGAATTCATTACTTTGACAAGTAGACCTTGCTGATAAGAATATGTAGAGTCAGGTACCTCTTTTCTCCTTGCATTTAGAATAAACTTGTCATTCTTACATGTATGTTCTTATGACTTAATTGCATTTCTGTTTCAATATCTTGTGGTCAAAGACCAGCTCTGCTGTATGTGGTGGCAAACATATGTCATCCATCTATCTACCGTTAGTTGTTTGTTATATTGTCTGTCGTTTTGTGTGAATATTTCAAAATGTTTATCCTCTGTTTAGATTTCAATTTAAGTAACCACTATAGTTCTGAAGTTGAAATTTAGCCTTATTTAGATAGTATACTGAAATCTTTTGACTTAATTTTTGGTTTTGTTTGTTAAGGTTTGTTCAGTTGGTATACCATACCGTCACAGATTTATCCTTCTATTTAGGTGCCTCTGACTCCTTACTTGCTTTGCTTATGGTTGGTCTCTGTGGGTATTGTCTTCTGGCAGTCGAAGATCCCCAAGACCAATATTCGTACAGCGGAGAAATTCCATGGACAGAATTTCTGGACTTGATGAAACAAGGAAAAGTAAATCATTCTTTAAAGTTTTATCATTCTATTTGTATCAGAATTTTCAGTTTTTAGGTCACCTGAGTAAACTCAGGTGACCTATTGCTATCCGTTTTCGTCCGTCGTCGTGCGTCGTCCGTCGTCCATCGTGTGTTAACATTTGAACATTTTCAGCTTCTTCTCTGCAACCACTGAACCAATTTCAACCAAATTTGGCTCAAAGCATCTATGGGTGAAGGGGAACAAAAATTGTGAATTTCATGATCCCTGCCCCCCTGGGGCCTGAGGGGTGGGGCCAAAACCACTAAAATTAATGCAGTCTTTAAAAATCTTCTTCTTTACTCCTGGACATCAAGCAGTCAAACTGTTTGCATGATTGTAATCAGCATTAAGTCCTCTACAGAATCTTCTTCTCTGCTCCTGGGTATTAAATAAACCAACTAAGTACATAGTTATGATAAGCAAGAGTGCCTCTACCAAAATTGTGAATTTTATGGCCCCAGGGTCAGGGGTTCTGGTGTTAGGGTGGGGCTCTATTGATTATATATAGTGAAAATACATGATTTCTTTGAAAATCTTCTTCTCTGCCCCTAGGTATTAAATAAACTAACTAAGTGCATAGTTATGATGAGCAAGAGTGCCTCTACCAAAATTGTGAATTTTATGGCCCCAGGGTCAAGGGTTCTGGTGTTGGGGAGGGGGGGGGGCTCCATTGATTATATAGTGAAAATACATGAATTCTTTGAAAATCTTCTTCTCTGCTCCTAGGTATTAAATAAACTAACTAAGTGCATTGTTATGATGAGCAAGAGTGCCTCTACCAAAATTGTGAATTTTATGGCTCCAGGGTCAAGGGTTCTGGTGTGGGGTGGGGGGGGGGCTCTATTGATTATGTAGTGAAAATGCATGAATTCTTTGAAAATCTTCTTCTCTGCTCCTAGGTATTGAATAAATTAAATAAGTGCATAGTTATGATGAGCAAGAGTGCCTCAACCAAAATTGTGAATTTTATGGTCCCAGGGTCAGGGGTTCTGGTGTTAGGGCTGGGCTCGTTTGATTATATATTGAAAATACATGAATTCTTTGAAAATCTTCTTCTCTGCTCCTAGGAATTAAATATACTAAGTACATAGTTATGATGAGCAAGAATGCCTCTTCTAAAATTATGAACTTTATGGCCCCAGGGTCAGGGATTCTGGTGTTAGGGCAGGGCTCTATTGATTATATAGTGAAAATACATTAAATCTTTGAAAATTTTCTTCTCTGTCTCTGGGTATGAAGCAGATGTACTACCTATATAGTTATGATGAGCAAGGGCCCTAATCTTGCAGAATTGTGAATTTCAAGGCCCCAGGGTCAAGGATGGGGGGTGGGGGGCTCTCAGACTTATATACTGAAAATGAATTAATTGTTTGAAATCTGCTCCTTTGTATTTATAAAGCATTTATTTATTTTTTGATAGGCAATTTTAAGGGTGCCTTTTTAAAATTTGTGTAATGTGTGGACCTAGGGTCAGGGGTTTATGTCACAGTGTTAGGGGCACTACTGATTATTGCTGAATATTACTGATTAGTTGGAATGCATTTTTGTTCCCCTACCCTGCGTACGGGAATTCAGTAACCAAGCTAAGCAACTGCTAAGTCTATTGTTATGATGATCAATGGTGCCTTTTTCAAAATTGTGAATGCCATATAGCATCTGGCTTAAAACAGGAATCAAATTCAATAACTGGAAAGTTGTTGCATAATGCTCAGGTGACCTATAAGGCCCGTGGGCCTCTTGTGTTTGTACCTAATTTTTTTTTTTGTTTGATAAACAAAATTTAAACACAGTTTTGCTGTGGAAAGGAAATTGATGTGGTATTCAGATTCTTTCTCTTTGAGATTGTTTTCCATAGGAATGTTGTTTAGTAGTATGTGATATTATTTCTCATGTTATATCTCTCATGTGAATGTGAATCTTTTTCAGGTTAGAAAAATAGTTAACCTTGACAGGGCAGTTCGTGTATATTTAAATGAAAGCTATTCTGGAGAACATGTAAGTTTTTCTTTTAGGAGATTTTGTTCATAACCAATTGCTAATTACATGTACCTCCCACTTTGTATAGGGTTTCTCCTATCACAGAGACTGTTGATTCAGTTTAAATCTTGTCTTCAAAATTGGAGGGATGTTACAAATTTTACTTGTGTTTTTTTTTCTCTGTTTTGCTCTTCATTTCTCTGTAAGATATTTTAATAAGTTTCAATACAATTTCAATAGAATTGTGGAAATATTGTTCATAACAATTATAAAAAGTTTCTTTTTTTTTAGGTCAATATTCCAAGTGGTTGCTGGGCAAAGTTACACACAGATATGCCATTTGCCAGTTTTGCATCTTATGTCAGAACTTTAGAAAAACAGAACAAGACTGCAAATCGGATCATCTTGAATGATGGCATGTAAGTTATTGGACATTTCTGCCAGAGGGTTTACACTTTATAAACCGCAAAGCAGTTTATAAAAAAGTGTATACTGCCCCAAGTTATGTTATATTGTATAAAGTAAATATTGTGTAACGTCGAAATGAGCTTTATTTCTTTTAATTTAATTTCAGTGTAGACAATGAAACAATTTTTCCTCCAGAAAAAGGTTTCAGATTGAGCATATTTTAAAAGTAACGTCAAGTGGAGTAATACGTTTTTTGACGTAACTCATTGTGACGTAGGCAAGTTATTTTATACAAAATGGATAAAATCCATTATCTAATCAAATGACATGTTACAACTAAAATTAAATTATATAGGTACATGTATATACATGAACGTGAAGCAAAGTAATAATTTGAGGCTTAAAGCAAAGTGATTTTGATTCCCCCTAACTTGGAAATATATTGTTGACTTTACAGATTTAACAATAACCTTATTAATGAAGAAAATTGTCAATTTGCAACACTTTGTTCTAACCATGTTTTACCATATACAGTACAGCACTTCATCTTAAAAATTCAAATTTTTTTATATCTTTTTTGATTTATGTGTGTGGAAAATGGCCCTTTCTTTTATTTTCAGAAGAACTACTTCTGTGATGTTCTTGGTACTTTTGGTGGCATATAGTGCTGTGATTATAAGAAGAATGACAATTTTATCACAGATGCAAAAAAATATGAGACAGCACATAAAACCAAATGCAAAACCAACAGTAAGTAAACCTTTTTAAATATAAATATATGTACAGTCAAATATTGTTATCTGGAACTCAATGGGACCAAGCAATTTGTGATACAACACATAAACCAAGTGCAAAACAAACAGTTAATAGTGAACAGTTTTAAATATAAATTTAGTCAGACTTCATTACCTCAAACTCAACTGAACCGAGGAATAATTTGGAGATATCCAAGGATTTGAGATGTTGAGGCTCAAATAAAGTAGTTGAGATTTCCAAATCACTTTGACGTATCCATGATATTCAAGGTATCAGTGTCCAAGATACCAAAGTTCAACTGTATCATGTTTGTTGAGCAAAAATACTGCAACAATATATATTTTAACAAAAAATATTTTTTTATTTTGATTTGTTTCAGGTAAATGCTGAACAGAAGATGGACAATAATAATTTTCTGAATTTCATGATGGCTGAGGAGGAGAATGTCCCTGTGGACGACAAGCCAAAGTTCAAGTTCAAGGACATTGCAGGCATGAAGGAAGCTAAAATAGAAGTTATGGAGTTTGTGGATTACTTGAAGAATCCACTCAGATATCAGGTAAAGTATTTACCTGCATTTGTACCAGCCACACATTTCTAAATTTTGTGAAAGCTGAATACAATTCTTAATTAAAAAGAATTTGCCTGCCATATTCTTTTATTCAGTCATTATTTCTGAGGGGCCCTATATAAGCTGTTGACTTAATCACTGTTCAGTGTTATCAGTTGTCAACCGATTAGATGGACGTTGCTTCATAGATATCGTTAAACACTTGGTAGCTACAAAAATTTCTGGGTCGTGTTTAGCCTTAACTATGAATCAAAGACAAATAAAACTGGTTCTAAGTTCAGTTAAATTCATGATACATTGTATTGCAGAGGTTAGGTGCTAAAATTCCACATGGAGCATTATTACTAGGTCCTCCTGGATGTGGGAAAACACTTTTGGCTAAAGCTGTAGCAGCTGAAGCAGATGTACCGTTCTTCTCAAAAGCTGGGTCAGAGTTTGTGGAAATCTATGGAGGTGGGTTTTCCTACTGTGAATAATTTTCAATGTCAGGTGCTCAGTTTAGATAAGTAAATGTACTTTTATTATGTTTTCTATTAAAACATGTACCAGTGTATACTTATTTTGATTAAAATCAACTAGCAACTAATATTTCTTTCACTTTGATAAGCAACATGTAGGAGTAAAATAAAACTGATTATAAATGAAATATTGAAAATTTTAATTTGAAACTTTTGTCATTTTTTTGTCCAGGCCAAGGAGCTTCAAGAATAAGAGAACTTTTCAGGAAGGCTCGAGCCAAAGCCCCCTGTATCATATTTATAGACGAACTGGATGCAGTTGGAAGAAGTCGCAGTGGCATGGGGTTGGTATCATGATAAAGGATTTTGTTCATGATTTTTGTTGTTAATACCAGTTAGGTGTCTATAGATCATTCTGGTCTGAAGAAAATTGGATGGATGACCAGATACCCTCTAGTTGTTCAACCCAATTTTTATGCCCCGCCATGAATATGGCTGGGGCATATAGTGTTTGTCATGTCCTTCTTCCATCCTTCTGTCCTTCCGTCCTTCCGTCACACTTTGCATTTAGCTCTGTTCAAAGCTAAGTTTCAAAGAAACTATCCAAGATATTTTCACCAAACTTCATACAATGAAGCACATTGAAGTGGTAAAATTTTCCGTTTGACTGGAACGTTTCGAGCTATCTTTAGAACGATGATTGTCATAAAACGAAACGCCCATTTCTTTAGAAAGGAAAATTCGCTCAAATGGGTCATTCTAATACCTGTAGAATAGGTTTCCATAAATGTAATAGCCAATCAAATTGACGGTCTACATAAATACCGAGTAAGCACGTGCTCGACCGATACATGTGTTGTGGTAACTCCAATAAACATGATAAAGTCATAATTATGGACAAAATCGTTCCAGTATGTGTTTTACAGAAACGGGAAATCTATAACTCTCTGTCTTATAACTTTAAAAATCTCCATTTCGGTGTAATTCTTGTTGCTTGTCATGAAGAGCGGTGTGTCCTTAAGCATTACGACAAATATTTCTTTTTCGTTTCAAAAGAAATGGGCGTGTCATTATGTTATAATTGACGTTCACAACATGACTCAGAGCGTTTCATCCAAACAGAAAATTTTACCACTTCAATGCGCTTCATTGTATGCTGATAGATATTGATGAGAGCTATCCAACTGCATCAACATTTTTTGACCTTGACCTTTCCTTTGACCTTGACCTCACTTTTCTTAAATTAGTGTTAAGCTCTGTTTTAAACATACCATTCAAGATGGTGTTATCAAACTTCACATGTTGATACAAACTTGCACGGATGATGCATCTCGGGATGAACACTACCAGACTTGCTGAGGATGCTGGATCTGACCTACATTTTCGTTCCCTAGTAACTATAAACCCTACCTGAACCAAACTTGCATGGATGATGCATCTAGGGATGGACACTACCAGACTTGCTGAGGATGCTGGATCTGACCTACATTTTTATTCCCTAGTAACTATAAACCCTACCTGAACCAAACTTGCATGGATGATGCATCTAGGGATGGACACTACCAGACTTGCTTCGGATGCTGGATCTGACCTATATTTTCATTCCCAAGTAACTATAAGCCCTACCTGAACCAAACTTGCATGGATGATGCATCTAGGGATGGGCACTACCAGACTTGCTGAGGATGCTGGATCTGACCTATATTTTTATTCCCAAGTAACTATAAGCCCTACCTGAACCAAACTTGCATGGATGATGCATCTAGGGATGGACACTACCAGACTTGCTTCGGATGCTGGATCTGACCTATATTTTCATTCCCAAGTAACTATAAGCCCTACCTCAACCAAACTTGCATGGATGATGCATCTAGGGATGGACACTACCAGACTTGCTTCGGATGCTGGATCTGACCTATATTTTCATTCCCGAGTAACTATAAGCCCTACCTGAACCAAACTTGCATGGATAATGCATCTAGGGATGGGCACTACCAGACTTGCTTCGGATGCTGGATCTGACCTCTATTCTCATTCCCAAGTAACTATAAGCCCTACCTGAACCAAACTTGCATGGATGATGCATCTAGGGATGGACACTACCAGACTACTTGCTACTTGCTTCGGATGCTGGATCTGACCTATATTTTCATTCCCTAGTAACTATAAACCCTACCTGAACCAAACTTGCATGGATGATGCATCTAGGGATGGACACTACCAGACTTGCTTCGGATGCTGGATCTGACCTATATTTTCATTCCCGAGTAACTATAAGCCCTGCCTGAGCCAAACTTGCATGGATAATGCATCTAGGGATGGACACTACCAGACTTGCTTCGGATGCTGGATCTGACCTCTATTCTCATTCCCAAGTAACTATAAGCCCTACCTGAACTAAACTTGCATGGATGATGCATCTAGGGATGAACACTACCAGACTTGCTTCGGATGCTGGATCTGACCTATATTTTCATTCCCGAGTAACTATAAGCCCTGCCTGAACCAAACTTGCATGGATGATGCATCTAGGGACCTCACTTTAATGAAATTAGTGTTAAACTTCATATGCTGATACATACTAATGTAAGCAATTCAGCTGCATCACTATTCAAGATATTCTGATCAAATTTTATACACATACAAATTTTCATGTTGCTTTACTAATATATCCTCGGCGGGGTATTCATGTCCTATTGACATATGTCTAGTTTATTAGATAAATGAATGACAGAGCTAAAGCTAAATACTAGTATATGTTTGATAAAAGGTTAAATTTCTGAGGCTGAAACAACTAATTAGTAAGGTTGATTCTTTTGATCAGAAGAAAAACTGTTTGTCTTTATCCTATTTATTCAAGGATTGGCAAAAATATAGATTTTCATTAACATTCATTTATTGTGGTGTACAGGATTATTTTCACCCTAGTAATCTAATGGATTTGCCCTGACACCATTTGCATTCTTTTTAGAGAAAGATAATAACTGTGTGTCTCTAGAAAAGTATGAAAAGGGTGAAAATTTCCAAGTACAAGTATACAATATTCTTGTGCCAGTGGTTTCCTTATCAATGAATATTGGATTTGGCAAGAGTTTGTATTCGTTGAATGATTTCAAGGGATACAGTGCAATAAAATGAAATAAGCTGTTTTCTTTATGATTTTGATTGACTTTCTAGAGCCATCAGCAACACAGAAGAAGAGCAGACTCTTAATCAGCTCCTGGTGGAGATGGACGGAATCAACACTACTGAGGGGGTGATCATGTTAGGGGCCACAAACAGGGTGGACATATTGGACAAGGTATAGTATATAAACTCAGGGGGGAGGGAGAGGGGTAGGGTCCTCACCTCATGTTAGGGGCCACCAACAGGGTAGAATTACTGGACAAGGTATAATTTATAAACTGAGGGGGAAGGAGGAGGAGTAGCATCCTCACTTAATGTTAGGGGCCACCAACAGGGTAGATTCTGGACAAAGTACAATGTATTAACTGAGGGGGAGCATCATTTCAGGGGACCACCAACAGGGTAGTCATCGTGGACAAAGTGCCATGTATTTTTGCTTTTATTGAACTTTAAGGTCATATGCAATGTAGTTTGAACTTTATCGGGTTCTTCCCTGGAGTTGAAGAGTTCCACTAAATGAAGGACCCATGTGTAATACTTTTAATGTCTATATATGGATTTGTACACCTCTTCTAAAATAATTTTTGATGAAAAAAAATCTGGAATTTATGTTTTGTAATTTTTGTATATTTTTCTTTGAATAATACAATTTTTTTCACAATTTGAAATCTTTCTGAAACCCCTGGTAACGCATGCTGATTTTTTGTCTAAGAACATGTAATGGTATTGTAAGTTTAACTTTAGAATATCTTGAAAAATTATCAGTAGGTGAGGTACGTTGCGTATGTCCTTAATTAAGCTATTAAAACTGTCACCTCAGCTGATTTAATCAGTAGAGCCACCATGTGACACAAGAACACATGTTAAAAAAGGCATTTCACTTCAAGTGAAAAATGGGTTGTTCACAATTTGCAGAATACAGATTTCATATCTCTTCTGAATTGTTTTACTTTCTAATTTTAAGCTACAGGGAATAAAAAATCTCTTCACTGTTAGCATGAATTCATTATAAGCATCTTCATGTTTCACAGTGTAATTAAATTGTGTGAATTGCACAATATTACTATAGAAGTACTTTTTTCCGCGTGGTATTAATGTACGCTGTCCCATGAAACTTACTACAAATATGAGGCACATAAAGAGAGTCTTAAGATGTCCGCGTAATTTTCTGCCAGCGGATTGGATAGAATTGGAGATTCCGCAGAATTATGACCCGTGGAAAGAAGTACGTCTACAGTATCTATAATTGTAAATAATGAATGCCTTTTATATCATTCCCTTCAGGCCTTGCTACGTCCTGGAAGATTTGATAGACACATCCTTATAGATTTGCCTTCAGCAAAAGAAAGAGTGGAACTTTTTGAGATGTACTTGGCAAAGATTAAGACAGATTTCTCCATCTCGGAATATGCACCAAGATTGGCCCAGCTTACACCTGGAATGTCAGGTAGAAAAAAAACTGTTTAATTTTATGACTCACCATATCATTCTTTTATAAATGTATAATTCCAATCTTCATTTTATTTATTGATTCCCTGTGTTTTGATTGGATGAGAGCAACTTCAAGAGAAAGTTTACACATCGATAAATTTTTCAATCAGAACTACTTTCTTGTCCTAGCTTCTAGGCTATCGTAAAAACAACGAAAGCAGTTATTTCTGGTCTGTTAAATTTTAGCTAAATTATGAAAATAAGAAAGCTGAAATTTAATTAAATATGTATAACAAAACTGGCGCAGCTGAAAGACTTCATGAAACGAGAAAATCAATATTAATTTAAAGATGTTTATGTAACTGTCGGTTTTTAAAATTGCTGATGTCATATCTCGACGTTCGTAATAAGAAGCAAATTAATCAGCTCATTTGGTATTGTTGTGATAGGAAAAAGAAACGTACCTCAAACTCTAGCCTTATAAGCATCAAATTCATATTTTTACATCCTATAATCTTCCTCAATCTTTGAACAAACCTGTGGAAATCGAAAGCGTCATCGGTCTGCAACTTTCGCTCTGAGCGTTGTCGTTAATGTCAACATGGCCATGGTCAAAGACGAATTATTCTGAGGTATACTCGTACTTACGATATTTGTTGACTTAAACAGCATATTCGATGAGTTTTTATAAGTTAATTCATTGACTGTTTTGACAATTTAATCTGAACTCTATTGAAATTCATCTCGATTACGTTTCTTTGCGGCTTAAAGTATTCCTACGCTGTACAGAAATAACGCATTGTATGGAGGCCTCAGAGAGAAATCATTTTAATAATTTTTTAAAATTCGTAATTGGAATTATAAGAATTAAACGTTCTTTTTGAAAAAATTATCAATGTGTAAACTCTTGACATTTTACTCACAAACTTAACATAAAAGTGCTTCGCACTTTTATTTAGTTTGTGAGTAAAATGTCAAGAGTTAACACATCGATAAATTTTTCAAAAAGAACGTTTAATCCTATGATATTGTTTGAACACTTTACTCATCTTTATAAACCTTGAACATAATAAAATGATATCAATCAACAGGCATCAATAAAACCTCAGTTTCTTAAAGTTCAAGAAAACAGGAGAATAAACATACATGTTTTCAAGTACATTGTATTTAAGGACGCACTTTTTACAGTTTACATGCATGTATTGCTTAACTTAATTTTGACAGCAAGAAAAGTGAAGAAACAACAAAAGACATGAATATATGTACATAAAATACTTCAATCAAATATTTCAGGTGCGGACATTGCCAATGTCTGTAATGAAGCAGCCATTTACGCTGGTACAAATAACGAGCACACTGTGAGCCGGAAAGACATGGATTACGCTCTACAGAAGATCATAGGAGGAACGGAGAAACGATCGTACGTTAGAGACGCCCACGAAAAGAAAATAAACGCCTACTACGAGGCAGGAAGAGCATTGGTGTCATGGATGACAAAGACGTCTGATGCTATTCTTAAGGTTAGATGTTTTACTTTGGTGGTGTACTTCTGTGCCCAGGCATCTACTGTGTTTTGAAGGAAACATACAATATTCAAAAAAATAAACTACAATTTACTTGTTGAGGCTATAATATTATGACAGTTTACTATAAATATTGCCTTTACTTTTTTCTTTTAAATCTCAAAACTGCTGAGAATGCACAGTTCATGTTTCTCATTTAAAGAAGCTCCCAAAAATTCTAACAAATGTCCCCTAGCTATGCACCAGTATGAACTCATCATTTTTTTTTTTTATTATTTTACAAATGCTTTTAATACTGTAAACGTATTACATTTGGCTGTGTTTTCTTAAAAAGAATTTTTGAGATGTTTGTGAAACATTGTTGGATGTTGAATGATATTTTCAGATCTCGATAGTACCCAGAAGTAAATACAGACTAGGACATTATCAGTATTATAAGCCAGAGAGAGACCTCCAAACCAATGTGGAGGTAAGAGTAAATACATTACTGACTTCCTTCAGATAAACAAAAAAATCTGCACATACAAAATAACTAAATACATACGGTACATGTCGTTTTGACTGGCATTTCCTAAAAATTTGTTGAAGAAGAGGTATACAATACGTGTATATCATGTGGCATTCTAAAAGTCACATAAAGGTTCTATAATTATTGGAACATTTCATTTTTTACGGAAGTAAGAAAATACATTATACTTAATAAATCTTCTCTTATCTTTGTCTAGCTGTTTGAGAAGATGTGTGTACATTTAGCTGGAAGCACAGCAGAGGCTTTGATCTTCAACCACCACTCATCAGGTACAATATTTCAATTCTTAAAACCAACGAAATTAAATCATAGAGTCTAATTCTGATTATTGAATAGATAGAATTGACTGCACATGCACATTTTTGTTTTAGCTGCGGAAAAAGACCTGGATATTGTCAAAAGGCTGGCTTACTTACAAGTCCGAGAGTTTGGGATGAATGACAATGTGGGTCAGATCTCGTTCCACTTTGAGGAGGGGGATGAAAATATGCCCAAACCTTACAGTAAATACATGGAGAACTTGATTGATAGGGTGAGGGAATATTGGAAATTAACACTGACAATTAATTGATGTTTTAACAAAGTTCAAAAATTAAAAAAAAGGAACAATCATTGAAACAGTAAAAACTGTTTAATCTGACACCTTTGTAATCCGTTTCATTTTGAATTTTGACCTTTATTTTCATTCTCAGTTAGCCATTTTCCATCTTCTTCACACATTGTAATCTGACACCCTGTGTATTCTGACAAACAATCTGTCTCCCAGTGCATATCAGATTAAACAGGTTTTACTGTATATTAGCAATCTGTGCAGGCCTTGTATGACTTGGTCAGTTATCACAATAACGTCAATAGAACAATCATTTGTCATATCCACAAAAACCACATTAGCTCTGATTTATTTTGTGTTATTTTTAACAGGAAGTAAGAGCACTGGTATCAAAGGCTAGTTTACAGTCAAAGAAAATCTTAGAAGAAAATATGAATAAAGTACACAAGGTAAAGTTCGCAGAATTCACTTTGTGAAGACATTGCACTAATTAGTGCTCTATCTCTCTCTCTCTCTCTTCCCTTATCTGTTGGTGCTAATTTGGTGTCTAGAAAACAGTGACAAATTTACTACAGTGTAAATCATTTAATTACACATATAGTTATTGAGAAAAGTAGTTCACTTGAAAATATTACATAAGGATAAATTTGTTTGCAGATTGCTAAGGAACTGATGGAAAGGGAGACTTTGTCGTATGAAGACATTGAGAAGCTAATTGGTCCACCTCCCCATGGAAACAAAATGCCAGAGGAATATATGAATTTAAGTGCACCATCCAGTGAAACACCTACCCCTCAAACCATATAAACTTTTGATTTATTATGTTATGACTCTGTCTTTCAAGTGCGAGTAAGAGAGTGAACAAGAGTGCTTTGTATGTTATTAATAGCTGTTTTTAATGTTACCAGTCTGAATTAAAAAAATAAAAGTTTAAAAAATGTTCTAAATAGCATTCATGTTTGAGGATGCACATGTAGATAAGATACTAACAATGGGGTATTCATTCATTACAATATTCATTCAACTTTCATCTCAATTGAAAATGTGTGACAGTATATGTGTAGGATAGGATATGAGCTTTTCTCCTAGTTTGGCAAAATAAAGAAACAGTGACCCTGTTATGGCTAATTTGTAAGTACATACTTGGAAAAGAATTAACATCTTGTAAATTTATTTTCAGGAGTTCGTAGCATGCTAATGCTCTGGTTTTTGACTTATCATCTTTTCATTTCTGGAGACTGATTGCAAGTTAGAATAATTATTGGGGGAAAAAAACTTGTATGAACAAAAAGTATAGCAATACTAGAACAGGCTTCATTCAACTATTCAAGGTGGATATGTTCATCAGAAAGTTATTGAGAGACTTCTTCAAAAGACAACCTCTTCAAAAGGCCTCTTCCTGTCTGAATACTAGTAATAACTTATAAAAACACACACATTCTGTGTAGATGCGGATTTTATACATGTATGGCCGTTATTTTGTGGTTAAATCAGAATCCTTGGAAATGGCCGTTTGTATGGAAAGCTGTCAATAAAAAATTGAAAAACTGATTAGTAAGGAAACACTATTTCGTACGCGTTTTCATTGGCTAAGTATATTTTACGTTTGTTGTAATCTTTCTAGCATATTTTAAGTTGCCTAGAGCTCGGGAACAAATTAAAAAAAACAACAACAAAACAACTGAACTGAATTTAACTGTATACAATATTTAGCCTACGTAAAGTATAAGTAAATGTTGAATGAAGCATCCAACAAACTGTGGTCACAATTAATTGAGATTTAATTTTTAAAGAAGAAGGTACGGTTTGGGCGTTATTGTGCCCTAAAAATTTAATGTTCTTAAAAAGGTATGAAATTGGCTTTAACAAAAGTTGAGTAGATGAATATGATAAATCATTAAAGAAAATGACAAGAAGGAGGGCCACTCTGGAAATATGACATCATTAATTTAGTACATTTCTAAGTTTAATGCAGAGACTCAGAATGACTCATTTCTGTGATTATTTTCCTTTAGAAAATAGTGTCTGCCACTCTGCCACCGTCGCCCACTTCAGTTTTTGGATATATTATGTAAACTGCTTTGAAAAATCACATAACTCAAAATCTTTCTGGACGACGGTGGCAGAGTATGTTTTCTGGAAGAAAATTACACTGAAAATTGATGTCTCCAGCAACTTTTTAAGAAAATACGAGAAAATGCACAAGTTAATGACGTCATAATTACCATTTAGGAGGTCATAAGAGCAAAACCATTTGTGTATTCTTACTGCATGGAATTTCTATGATTCAGAAAGAATAAATTTTAATTTCTTATCACTTTCATATTTTAAGAAAAATACAGGGCGTAATTTGAATTGAAACTGTACCTTATTCTTTGATCTAATCGAAATAAAATAATGGTTCATGATAAAATTATGAATCAGTCATTATTTTTAATTCAAACAAGATGTGATTGTGAAACATTGATGCCTCCGTACGGCAGCTTATACATGTAGCGGGTTGGAAATTTCTCTAATGCAAGTCAGACTCCATGGCCAAAAGGTGAAATTGTTGGTATCCAAGGAAAGGTCTCGCCACAAGGAATATACCTGTCAAACAGGAATCCCTGGTAATATATAATTGCTCAAAGGTTATGGCCAAAGTTAAAGTTTTTTAAATGTGGATCAAGCTCTGAGGTAAAGGTCAAAAATATTTATAAGTTTTAAAGGCCGTGCCACTATGAATACTTGTATGAAGTATACGAAAGCCTTAGCACCAACCGTTCAAAAGTTATAAACATTGTTCAAGTTTGAAAATTTAGGTATTAAGTTGCTTTTTCTTGCAAGATCTTTTTATTATTTCAAAAATCCGAAATAAATCATATTTTCTCATAGATGTATTCATTATTTTCTGTCTTAAAATGTACAAAATACAGGTAAATCTAAACATCTATTGTTATTTGCAAGTGGGAATAGGTGGAATTGAGATTTTTAAAAAGTGGGAATAGCTAGAAGACACCCTCCAGGGTTCACAAAGAACACACCTGTAAAATATGAAAGCCTCAGAAAACCCACTCAAAAGTTATGGACAATGTTAGAGTTTTTGCGAACGAAGTAAAATCAACTTATTAATTTTTTTTTTAGATTTTGAATTCAGATAATTTGAATCGAAGATCATGCCTCTCTACAAATATCGTTTCAAACGAACTACTGACTATTTCTCTAACATATAGTGTGAAATTTTTATATACGAGGGGTTATCAAAAAGTTCGTGGACTGAGGCTATAAAATGGTACTATGAGGTCCAGACATATCTAACATGCAACAAAAAATAAAGAACTGTTTAAAAATTTAGCTTGATACGTTCATTATTTGCAAAATTATTATAAAACTAGATATCAATGAAATGGTGGCCATCTTAAAGGGACCCGCTTTTAGCAATGAAAATGTAAGGTAGCTGAAAAGGGTTTATTTTTAAGGTGTTTGAAATTAAAGGGGACAAAAAGTAACTACTCCCTGAAAAATAATTCAATTAAAAAACTTTTAGAAATGTACCCTCTATGAAAATTGTTGCATATCCTCTATCAAAATATGGAAAGAAAATCACAAATGTTCCATACCCAGTCAATTTGTTTGAGGCTGAGTGGACTTAAGGGAAAGAAATTATATGCACCGAACAAAGATTTTAAACAGAGAGGCTTTTTTGACCTTGACCCTTGCCATTGAAACTTTGTTCAAAGTCACTGCACATTCACTGACCAACAGCACTCTGTGAGTGAAGTATAAGCCACATTGAACCGATAGGGGAGAAAAGAGGTATGCTCCGAACCAGGATTCTCATATAATTCTGCTATGACCTAAACCTTTGACCTAGAAACATGGTTCAAGGTCACTGCACACCCTTCACCCATAGGCACTCTGTGAGTGAAGTATGATCCTCATTGGACCAAGTGGAGAGAAGATATGCTCCGAACAAGAATTTTTCTTATAATTTTGCTATGACCTTAATCTTTGACCTAGGAAAATGGTTCAAAATCACTGCACACCCTTTACCCGAAAGGCACTCTGATTGTGAAGTATGGGCCAGATTTGGCCAAGGAAAGTGCAAAAAATATGCTCCAAACAAGAATTTAAACAGAAAGGCTATTTTATATCTTGACCCTTGACCTATAAACTTTGCTCAAGGTCACTGCACATTCATTGACCACTGGCACTTTTTGAGTGAAGTTTGAGCCACATTGGACAAAGGGGAGAGAAGATATGCTCCAAACAAGGATTTTTCATATAATTCTGCTATGACCTTGACCTTTGACCTAGAAACATGGTTCAAGGTCACTGAACATCCGTTACCCAAAGGCACTCTGTGGGTGACCCCCCCCCCCCCCCCGTTGCTACGTGCCTGAACTATTACTTATTTGGGGGCCCATGTTACAAAAGAACTTGCGACTTAGACAAAAAACTTTAGCTGACTGTCAAATTAATGATTCAGTTCGAAATTGTCAACATAAAAATATCTCTTTAAACTCCATTTAAAAAATGAAAACAATCTTCTAATCTATGTAAAAAAAGAAAGTTATGAGCAGAAAAAAGGTCTTTATAGTCGCAAGTTCGTAAAAGTAAAACGGGTCCCTGGGTTGTCGCGGGATAGGGTGCTCAGTGCCAGGCTGCTAAAAACTTGGCTTAATTGTGTCGAGGGTGAAGACAATTTAAGGAGGGGAATGTAATTACATTTTATTTTCTCATTTTACATCTCAGTAGGTAGAGCACCTGACAAGTGAGGCAGGAATCCCTGCATCCATTTCTTTTTTCCTGGTCGCCCGCGTGGCGCAGTGGTTAGAGCGTCTGCTCTAGGGTCGCGAAGTAAGGAGTTGATTCTTACGTCGCGGGTTCGAATCCCACTGTGGGACGTGGAGACAGGTCCTTCGGATGAGACCGTATAAACCAAGGTCCCGTGTCGCAGTAGGTGCTGGAACGAAAAAGATCCCTCCCTGCCCAAGCCATGAGTGCCGAGTATAGGACAAAATTTGCAGCTCTCCACCGGCAAGTGGTGGCATCTCCATATAAGTGAAAAATTCTCGAGAGGGACGTTAAACAATATGCAATCAATCGATCAATCTTTTTTCCTGTGACAGATTAACTTTGAAGCAATCAAAATACTATGGCTAAATGAACATTGCCTTATGAATTCAGGGACATTTTTGTAGGCATTTTCAATTACATGTACTTTTAAGTTAAAACTTTTGGTTCAGTTTACCATAGACCTAAAGCAAAGGTTTGCATTTGGTCAATGGTTTTATGAACCTGAGGATCGCGCTATTAAGCCTTTTAATTAAAAACAACTGAATTGACTTTCACTACATTCTTAATTCTTAATTAAGAATTTCATTTTTATTGATTAATTCATTTATACATATTGTCCATGGAATACTCTCGTTTTAAAGTCGGGAACGAAATCCTCGTATTATATAATCAATCAGTAATGAAAAAATTGAATGATAGTCATGTGAGAACGGAAAACACAATAAACCAGTGAAAATTACATTTTGTAATCATGTCAACATTTGAAAAAGTTTAAAGGAACTCTTATCACCACTAAAGGTCAGTACGTATCCTTTTCCAATACTTTTATACTTCTGAAGAATTTGTTTTACTACATTATCAACATTCCTTACTGCTACTTTCGGATTAATGTCAACAGTACATATATGCTTAATAATGATTTTTTTCGCTTTGAAGAACATGATTTTTTTTATTACACATGCTGATTGTTATAATTATATATATAACGTAAATAGCCAGAATAATGCGACAGTCGCTTTCTTAGTAACTGTCACTCAACGGTATCGGTGGTCTAAATATTGCCGACCTTGGGCGCTCATTCAATATAAAAGTCTCGTGACAGCTGTATTTACGGTTGTGACAAAAAACAGTGCATCAAGACGATAAACAATGACCCTCGTTATTAAATATTTGTTCAGGAAATAATTAACAATTTGTTTTAAATCTGCGGATGAAATGTTTACACCCAAGAACACTTATGCGATGTAAGTATGCGCCTTTAACTTGATTCAGTAGTATAGGATATGAGATGTTAAGCTTAATTATTTGCATTTTGGAAGCGTGACAAGACAGTTCTTTCTTCATAGTGCAAGAAAATAGGAATTCACTGTTTAAATATAGGTACTCCGTACGGGAATTTTATATTTCCATCCGAAGGAGGAATTTGTTTGTTGTACCCTTTATAAAGATCGAGAAATGAGAAAAAGCATTAAAAGAATGGGGGTGGGGGGGTTAATAAATGACAAAAATATATCCTAAACTATTTTGTTTGAAATTCGGTGTGTATGTGGGGGGGGGGGTATGATTAATTTAGAGAGGTGGTTTTGGCCATTTTTAGATTATTTTGATCTTTTTTAGAAGAAGAGCTCCAGATAAAGATAATTATAATAAAATGATCAAATTTTAAAACTAAAATTTATTAAATTTTTCTTTGCCACATGATAGTTGACAGCTCAAGATATCATATCTAGAAAAATAAGTTATATCTGGTGGTTAATAAAAAAAAATTACCTGTTGAACCCCTAGCCTCCAGAAATTGATATGGCCATTGTGGGCTGGCCTAACTTAAAGACGTTTCATTAAAAAGAAAACTGAAATATGCATCTAGTTTTGAACTCTATCCCCCGTCACTGACCTTGGAGATCTGTTTTCACCGTTGATCAATACCAGAAAATAATATAGTTGCATGTGTTATAAAAATTTATATCGACTTCGCTGAAGAACAAGCTGGTGATGTGCAGGGAGTTTCTCTCGAGATAAGGTCCTAAATCTATTTTTAAGGAAATAAATTGTTTGATCTGAAAAACGTCATTATATAATTCCAGGCCATGGTGGAATTTAGGAGGGAAAATTGACAGTGGTTATGTGTATGCCATGTCCAAAAAATCTAAATCACGGGAACCGGTGTTATTGGATGCCGCGGAGGCTTCAGACGACGAGACCAAGCCTTTATATTCCGGATCTTACCGGGTATGTGTCGGGATGGAACTTTATTATAGGGGGGGGGGGGTGACAATGGTAAAGAGTATTCAAGTATGTCACCAGTATGTGTAATGTACATGTATACGTATTTAAGTTGGTTCAAAATGCAATATTACATAAGAAAACCCTTTAATTTTAAGGGGGATTAAAGGAAGATAGGGATGGAGCAGCTGGTCAATCAAACTCACTATACATGTACAGACTTTTTTTTTTACTTTTAGGGTCTTTCCTATGCTCCAAATGTTGCTTATATAAGGAAACCGCCAAAGGATTTCCGAGCAGGAGCTCTTCTTAGTGCCATTTTCTGTTTCTTACCGCTGGGGTTATTTGCACTATATTATTCATGTAAGGTAAGCATAAACTTTCTGGTATAACTAAAAGGATGTTTGGATTCAGGGATGAGCTTCATTGAATAATGTGCAAATATTGTAGTTAAAAAATAATCTGGATGGAAAAAATATGCCTTTAATATTGTTCTTAAAATTTATTTTATTAATATTAATTTACTCAATTATCTTTCAGGTTAATAAATTATACCAGCGAGGCAATTTAACTGAATCCATCAAGGCCTCGGACAGAACACGTTTTCTGATAAACATAACCTTACTGTTTGGTTCTTTACTTTGGTTTGGTGGAATAGTTGGGGTAGTTTTATTTACCAACAGGCATCATTAGAAAAATTAAATGTTACCAGCTTCAGCAATCTGATTAAAATCAAATTCTCTGATCTGCGCACTAATATGGCTGTACTTAGCCTATACAAAGATTGCAGTGATCCAAGTGAGTGGATAAAAAGATCAGATTTTAATCAGTTTGCTTGAGAACAGTTACTACGTTAAACTTACTGTCTGTATAAAATACTTTTTTCATACCATTCGCATCAGATTCTTGGTCATTGGACTGTCTTTGAATTTTTTTTAATCCCAGTTCACTTTACCATGATTAGCTTGATTAGTATTTTATATTACAATATTGATAAATCATCCCTATATATTAATTTTTATCACAACTATTGTTTGTGTAATCATTTTAGTCAATTTTGCAATCTTAAAAATGCATAGACATCATCATAACCTGAATGTTATATCTTGGTATACACAGCATTAAGGGAAAACAACCACTGAGCTAGAAACCCAAATCCTGTTTATATTTACAAAATATATCTACAATATACATATGTACACAATTCCTGTACACAAGTCAATAAAATGTACACATGTACATTATCTCACAAATAGAATCTTTATAGCAGCATAAATCTTTTCTACAAAATCTCATTTATATTTGTAAATTAATAAATTCATTTTTTTTTATTATTTCAAGTGAATTAAATTAAATGTACATGTACTTGAAAGACATTGAATTCCCAAATATTCAACTATTTAGCAATCAGTACTGAATGTGTGTATACATCAATTACAAGATCTGTTTATATTATTATACATTTACACATTTTGTAAATAATGTTTATTTTTTATTATAATATTTGTTATTAAAATAATAAAACAATAAAATATTTTCTTCTTTTATTCAGAAAACTCCCTGTCTCTCTCTCTTATATTTTCGATAGGAAATGGCAATTTTTAAAATAAAGACTTCTCCCCTTTAAAATATAAAAGGAGTGAAAAGAGTGTCTACCAATTTGAATACTGACAACTGATTTTTACACAGAGGTTTTGTAATGAATATCAGGCAATAAGTCGATTATATCAACATCATATTGTTCCAAAACAGGTAAAATTTGATTACTGCTGTAATTTCCAAATCAAAATGTTTTCCCCATTTGAACCATGTCTTAAAATAAATTGCACAGCTGGTGAATTGTCCGACACCGGTAGATCTTAAAACAAGCACTCGCGTGAAAATGTCTGGAAATCTTGCTACTCATCGATGTATATCATCTGGCTCTAAGGATTTCTACTAGAAAGGGTAACCTGTGAAATAAATATTTGTTTATTTTTATTTTCATTTTCTTAATTTAAATTAATATTTAATGCATATATTTAATCATTGTTTTTTTTAACACCAATACCTACCCTGTTAGTACTACAATTGCCCAAGGCTTTCACGTCGCCAGTGCTTGCGAGCACACACCGAACATCACCATTCTGGGGAAAGAAAAATTACATATAGAAATAATTCCTACATTTATATTACCTCGTTCAAATTGACTTGAAACATTTGATTAAAAAATATAATAACTCACTTATTCGCTGTGATAATCTGCAAGAGCTGCAACCAGCCTGTTTTTTCCCTCCTTTTCCCCCAAAACGAGAACCATTTGAGAATCAGTCAGGTCTAAAGGTGTTACAAACTATAGAACACCAGCTGCAAAAGATGGATAAAGGATTTTAAGTTTCCTAAATCATGTAAATTCTATTGAATAAATATCTATTACAGCTTCTGCAACTGGTCACATTGTACAACTCTTTCACACGAAGTTCTTTAAAATCAAGTGGTGTGCATTTATTAATAACATTTGAAAATAATCCCTTCAACGTTAAATACAATAGAATGCCTAGAGTATAATGGGACTGTAACATCCCATTACATTCAAAAGTCGGATTCTTTTACAGAAGTTACCATGTGAACACCTAGTCGGCAGAAATATTATAATCTAGGCCTATATAATAAATCGCGTTAAATTATTAAACGATATACAATGATTTTTTGAAGGAGAATCCTGTGATTTTTTAGCCGGGGTTATTGCTCAAAGAGCAATTGCCGGCTTATGTCATCCTGTTCAAGGCAGGAAGTCAACCCCATAGTCGCCATTTTAAAGTTACGAGTAAAAATATAGTTCTTCTCAACCGCTTTTGAGATAATACAAACGCTAAATAAAGCAACAAAAATAAAACGAAGTTTTATCTGTATAAAACATTAGTAGTAATAATGACTTTGAAAACTTCAGTTCGAAGTCAAAGAACATAATTCATTAGCGTAAGGATTTTTGATAATCAGTGTTATCGTAGTTCCCTACACATACGAGGTAAAGCAGAAGAGGGAACCAGACTGGCCTATCTGTTTACATTCAGCTGCGGTACCAGATTAATTCTGATTCTGACAAAATCGGACCGTGGTATTAGGATCGAAAAACTCACTGTCAGTGTCTTATCATTTATATTGATAGTTTTAAAATAATTTTTTCATCAGAAAATAAACGTATGATTTATGTAAGAAATTCATTCTACTCTGTAAATGAGCCCGGCTATCTGTACTTCTGAGTACTTTGATTTTTCTCTATATGTTATCCTCACAAGTTCACAATTTTTTCCTTAAAAGTACGTTAATGATTATGAACCCTAACACCGTTTCCAGTGACGGTTCATGCCCATTCGGCAAATCTCAGCTGATTCCGTCATCAAACTTTAAACGAGGTACGAATCGGTAGGGACCCTCGCTATATTAGTGTTGATTATTCATAAAAATTAATTTTCATTTTGTAATTTTGTACAGTTACTTGATGAAGCAATATGAAATTTACAACCATCACCGCCTATTCAGTGGTTAGAACCATTTCCCGATTAGTTTGACTTTCAGTAAGGCGTGTCATTCTCGGCGCTACGTAATTAGCGTCTGTCGAATGGCGAATAGATTCTAACTGGTTTAGATATTAATAGCATCAGGAACTTTAAATTGTTAACAGCGATGGGACGACTTAAGCTCCACCTCTTCGCCGGACGAGACAACGTTATTGGTTATTCGATACACTAACTGGCATTTGTCCGAATTTCTATCCCATTTATATTTCAATAGAGAAGGAAATTAAAGCTGTGTAAATTTCAAAAGCTAATTATGTAACGCCTTACTGAAAGTCCAAACTAACCTGGAAATGGTTCTAAATTCATATCATCCAGACAGTACGTCGACTTCGCAAGCCAATGGTTTTCGATCCAGCTTCGCAAGGAGCAAAGCGGGCCGAAATCTCCTGGCTTCCAAAGATGGCAGTACTATGAATTTCACTTCACTGAATATTCTTCATCGTCGCAAATCACGACCAAAATATACGATCCCCTTCCATTCTATATGCGGACTTCGGAAAGTAGCTTGAGACAATGTACATATATATCCTTTCATTTCAAAAGTCTGATATTTTAATTTCTGATTGAAGGACGCATCTCACATTTCTGAAAGCTCTTGGCGAAATTATGTATCTGAAACGAATATGTTTCGATGTTTTCGCATTTAACATCGCTAAAAAATGAAGACTTCACATGCTGGTAACCTGGTATAGAAAACAAGAAACAACTGTGAAATATTGATTTTTACTTTATTTGTAAATATGTGTCGAATATTTGAGAAAATTGAAGGGGGATTAGAGTTGGTCGTTTTCAAGAAAAACACCTGGTGATCAGTCGAGTCGACAACATGGCTGTTCACCGGGAAGAGCAAATATTCGAAGCAAGAGCAAATATTCCAGGAAAGTATAAATACCCTTAATTTCGAGATTCATATGTTTGAAATAGCTTCCAATGTTATAAAAATAAAACAGATTTATCTTTTCTGATCATGACCTTGAACTTATCGGAATGACTATAAGGTAAGGTCATGACACACCTTCAGGGCACAAGTACTACAAGTAATTTTTTGTGTCATATATTTCAGTTTATCACTAGACAGTTTAATAACATTGGGTCAAGGTCATGACATAGCTTCAATTTATGTGCAATGTTTGTGTTAAATATGAACTCTCAATGCTTCACCATGTGAATTTTATAGACGGAAACGGACTTTTTTCTGCCAGCCACGACATTTTATTATCAAAACGTTTATATTAAAAGAATGTATTTAGTGAAGCACATTTTGCCTCGTCATAAGAGATTTGAGAGTTGCCAGCATTGTTAGTATAGGAAAATTCACGGAAGCGCATAGACTGCCATGAAAATGTTTTCATTTGGCGGCTATATTGCCAAATCGTCAGTGATGAATGACGATAAAACGCAATTCATTGCTCATCTTGCAATTCACCGTTTCTTCTGAATAAAGCTTCTTGCTCTTTTACAAATCATTAGAAGAATGCTGGCAAATAAGGGGAGGAAAGTACCCTGCTCTGAAACAAGATATATTTCTCAATTCTAAGGGTGTTTTCCCCCAATATCATCTTTTTACATATGCGATTCCCTCATTATAATGAATTATATTTGAAGAAGAAAAATCATTTCAGAAATGTTCTATTTTCTTCGATCAGACTTCATTTTTCTTAAAATAAATAGATTAGATACATTTATTTTCCAAAGCATTCAAACAGGTCTGTGATTTATAATTGAAACCACAGACCCTTTTCTATCTAATAAAATTATGCGTTTATTTTTTTCAAAGCATAATTTTACATAGTAGAAAAGGGTCTGTTTGACCAAATAAATCACAGACCCATCAAAAATGATTTTTGAATGATTGAGAAAAAAATGTAAAAAGAAATGAACTAAAATAAATGAATAAAAATTAATAAAGATGACATTACTGAAAAACATGACATGACTTACGGAAACAATATAACTTTCACACGAACTTTTAAAATTTAGAAATCTTGTCTCAGAAAGGGGAATTTTCCTTGCCTTGTACGCCCTCACTCTTTGCCATTCTCGCGCATACGTTTAACTAATACTGTATTATATATGTTGAAGTAAGCATTTTTTTTTTTAAATTTATGTATGCAGTGCAATATCTAAGAATCTCAGCAATGTGTAAACATTTCCGTATTTCATTGTTTTTAAGCAAAAGCAAAGATGACTGAGTTCTCCATCCTGGGGTCCTTCAGTCAACACTTTTCCAACTACAACGTGTTGACTAAGGACCCTCTTGCTTGCGAGGATGGCGTTGTCCGGTTAAATAAATCAAACCAACGTGTTAATCAAGTTTTTCAAAGCAATATCGACAATACTTCAAATAGACTAGTGTAAATGTTCGCCACCATTATCATGCACATTACATTAAATTTCAAAGGCGACTCAAGCTAATGCTCATTTTAGGGGCCTAAGAGAGTGCGCCTTTTCTTAAAGGGTCGATATCCTTTTTGCCGAATTGCTAGAAATCGAGTTTCGTCATTTGCGTATCATTTTTCAATTTAATTAATCAATTATGCAAATGTTTATGTCACTTTTTTTATATTCTTGTTTTCATTAAAAACAATTACATGTAACTGTCCCGAACAAATTCGAAACGAATCGACATCTTAAACACTTACCTCGTTTTGATCCTTTCTCCCTCGGATTTACAAAACCGCCAGACGTCCATGATGCCCAGGATACGTTTTATTATATAACTTTTTAATAAATGCATATTTTTATTTTACTGGTATAAATGGAATGAATCGTATACATCACGTTTTGAAAATTATATGTACTTTGAAATTGATATATTATAGAGATATAAAAGATTGAAGAAAGTAATTGGAATAGTATATTTGTTTAGTTTGGTGTTACAGAAAGATTATTATTCCTTTTCGATGTTTGTACAACTACAAGCAGTTTGCATGCCTTTTGATATTTTTAAAAACTTTTTAAAAATGTTGTGCAAGGAATTTGAATCACCCTTTCGTTAAAACTTTCAGTCAGCGTTCATTTTTTATTTCCTTGACATGTTTAAGGCATATATATTGCCGAATTTGACTATTAGGAATTAAAGTTCGTTTCGAATCCATCAAATATAACTTGTACACTATTAAAATAATGTCAATGCTTTACTCAATTTAATCGCAACAATTTGCAAGGTGCGTAAATGTAACTATTTTAGCAGTGGATGGTCAACACAAAACAAATTCAACAGACACAATACATTTATCGCTACCTAACTTTAACAAAACGTTTTACGTTTAATACTTTTGTTGCAAATCCTATTCATTAAAATATATTTCTAAGGAGTGCGATTTTTACATATATCTCTTGGTACCTTAATGTTCAGAATTCCGCACTATACTGTATTACTGTTATAGTATATATTTGAATGGTATCATAATGATAGCATCCTATATACATCAGAATTCTGTGTTTTCTTTAAGCATATTAATAATTGCAATTTCAAGTGTTTTTTTTTATTTCGAACAAGTCCTTCTATAAAATTTCCGCATATCGCGTGCAGCGAATTCGAGTCAAACGAAACTTGCTTGTTTGTATTCTTTTAACACTCGAACAGTATTTTCGCTCATTTCAAGTTATACTTTCGATGTCGTACATGTATATGCAAGTTTCTCAAAAGTCATTGCGACCATTTTCTAAGAATACCCCGGTAGTATTTTTACATCGGATCCCATAACGTATTCACTTTAACTTTTTTATGGTCTATATATGGAGTGAAACAATCCCTTTTTTCTTTCTCTACAGGAGTAATGGGTAAACCCGGAATATTGTGTTGTGCATCTGGCTCGTTGAGTTTTCAGTACAATCTAATACTTTTCTGCAATCGAAAATATTTAAATGGATATATATTAAATTCAATGTTTTTTTTTCATATCACGTAATTAAAATTCGTTCACGATGTTTCTATGTTCTATAAGTCTGTTTAAAATAGACAACCACTGGGATTCTACAATTTAGATTGTACATAAATTTCTTTGAGTTAAAATAATTATTATGTTTAATTTTCTGTCAATTATTTTTTTTTCATTTAGAACGAAACATCTCCCACATTATTCGCAAAGCTATGAATACGCAATTCTGAAAAGTGATCGTAGAAAACAGATTTGTATATAAACCATAGCTTTTAAACAAAATTTCTAATTGAGATTTTTCGCTTTTAAATCCACTCTGTATCATAAATAATATGTCAATCATATCATAAACCATTTTCAAATTGCATACATATCGTATGTACATACTATATCACTTTTAAAAAGCAAAATGCATTTGTGAAACACTTATGCTCCATTATGACAGCTTAAGGTCAAGGTTAAAGTTTTTCAAAACTAGGTCAAGCTCCAAGGTCAAGAATTCAAAATAGGTCATACTTCAAAGTCAAGAGGTGACAAATAAAAACAAAAGCAAGGTCTCTTCAGATGGAAAATATATGCAAGTTCAGTATATAGCGAGCCCTAGAACCAAACTTTTCAAAATTCAAGAGGTAAAATGTTGGTACTCCAAGGAAAGTTTTTTTTTTCACACGTAATACACAAGTGATATATGAGAGCCCCAACACGAACGATTCAGTTAACGGCAAAGTTGAGAAAGTTTTTCAAAAGTTATCTAACTCCAAAATCATGGTAAAAAAAGAATAAACCTGTGATTACAGAAATTTAAAAGCTCCAGCACCAATTGTTCAAATGTTATGGCCAAGGGTAAGGTTTGGTATACTTTTACAAAAGTAGATCAAACTACAAGGCCAAAAATGTTGGTTCTAAAAGAAAGTTCTTGTCACGAGGAATACAGTATAAACCATTCAACAGTTACAGACAAGGTCAATTTATGTTGATAAATAGACAGATTAACAGACAGAAGGGTGGCCAGACCAAAACCTATGTGGCCCAACTGCAGGGGAATAATAAACTAAGAGAAAATCAATTTGTTTTCAGCAACATAGTACCTCTCCTTTTGTGCTTAAAGCTGAACACTACTCATGAATACAGCAAAACTTGTTTAGTATGAACACGCATATTGCGAATTCACGGATATAGCAAAGTTATCTTCAATCCCCAGCTATAAAAATTTAACGAAATCCTTATACAGATTTAATGAATTACAGATACAGCAAAGTAATTTTAAAGGTCCCAGTGACTTCCTTATAACCGAGTTTTGCTGTTTACCGTAAACCTTCGATTTCGTTACACCAGTGTGTACACTTGAAACTCATGGCCACGTATAGTATTTCTTTTGTGGTCTTAGATTTTTTGAAATATTTATTCTTTGTTTTATGTGGATTTAATGCATTGATTTATATTTGATGTTACTTTGCTCTTGGCTAGGAAAAAGTATATGTAAAATTTATCAACCGAGTAAAACAGCAATGTAAGAATAACGTCTTCTCAGATGACTGAGATGAGACCTCCACTGCGAAATACTTTAACTATTCGGAGGTTGTAATTTATGCAGGGGTTGTTAGGATAGCGGTGATGAAAGGGAAATAAGGTGGAAGCCTTTTACAAGTAGTGTTCAGCTTTAAGAAATATGCACTATTCCCTTCTGTTGCTTAAAATTTTGCATTTTCCTACGAAGAGCAAATATCGATGTCAGTGAATCAGTCAGAGATCCATAATGTAGATTTTTTTTATCCATAAAGGTACAAAGATTTTGCCATAGATGTTTCTAAATAAAGTCTGTATTTATACTTTGATTTCTTTATTCATTTCTTTTTTTTTAGTATGTTGATGATAAACAGCTAAGCAAACAGCTGTGAATGGCGATAAAACAATGTGAAAACTGAGCTTTACAAAACAACACTCATATTTTTCTAAAAATAATGAAGGGATGAATTAAAATGTTATTCTCTCGAGGGCATGATCTGAATGACTTTATTACATGAAAGGTGACATGTCAGTGAAATAATGTTGGAGGATCAGTATCGTCTCATTCCTTGCCCCGGGGCCCCTGGTCTAGGGGGTGCAGCTCCGGGTCCACTCCCGTACATAAGCCTCTGAGAAGGCTGCATTCCTCCCGGGCCTCCCTGACCTCCGACCTGACCATGCTGCTGCATGGGGGCACTGCCAGCCATCCCTCCATAGCCAGGGGGACCCTCACGTCTTATTGGCTCTCCCTCACGGCTCATGATTCCCACTCCTGCGGGTTTATTTGCTGGTGGTGAAGAAATATTCTTCAACAGATTGGGGCCACTCTGGATAAGGTTATCCAGGGCTTTCTGAACGTGTGGATTATCAAAATTGATCAAAGAGGACATTCCCGATTGACCGCCTCCCCCTAGAGGACCACCATTGCCCACTCCTAACCCGGGACTTGGTTTGGGGGCCTGAGGTGCACCAGTTTCACCTGGACCATTGAGAATACTGAGGATTTTGGCTTGGAGCTCCTGCTGCTGTTGTTGTAGGCTGTTGTCTTCCTTCCTCAGGTCTCCGGCTCCATATCCTGTAAAATTCAGATTTTAAATACTAGAATCACAATAAACCAGAAGTCTCTGTCGAGACTGAAGCTCTACTGTTTTGAACTTATAGCAAAGGAAGAGAAAAGTACTTAAGCAGCTGGGATTTGAAACTAAATAGAATAATGATCGTTGATAAAGTCTCTTTATGTTCTTAGTGTAGTCTACTTGTGTGCCAAGTTATACTGAAATCAGACCAAAACTGTAGGAGGAGTAGCATTTTGAAACAATTTTACAGAAATTTCTATTTTTAGTAACCACGGCAACACCGTTCATCAAAATTAAAATTCGATACACAGAATTATGTATCTTAGTGTATTCTACTTATGTGCCAAGTTATATTGAAATCAGACCAAAACTGTAGGAGGAGTAGCATTTTGAAAGAATTTTACAGATATTTCTATTTTTAGTAACCACGGCAACACCGTTCATCGAAATCAAAAACCGATACACAGAATTATGTACCTTAGTGTATTCTACTTGTGTGCCAAGTTATAATGAAATCAAACCAAAACTGTAGGAGGAGTAGCATTTTGAAAGAATTTCACAGAAATTTCTATTTTTAGTAACCACGGCAACACCGTTCATCAAAATCAAAAACCGATAAACAGAGCTATGTATCTTAGTGTATTCTACTTGTTTGCCAAGTAATACTGAAATCAGACCAAAACTGTAGGAGGAGTAGCATTTTGAAAGAATTTCACAGAAATTTCTATTTTTAGTAACCACGGCAACACCGTTCATGGAAATCAAAAACCGATACACAGAATTATGTATCTTAGTGTAGTCTACTTGTGTGCCAAGTTATAATGAAATCAAACCAAAACTGTAGGAGGAGTAGCATTTTGAAAGAATTTCACAGAAATTTATATTTTTAGTAACCACGGCAACACCGTTCATCAAAATCAAAAACCGATACACAGAATTATGTATCTTAGTGTAGTCTACTTGTGTGCCAAGTTATATTGAAATTAGACCAAAACACTAGGAGGAGTAGCATTTTGAAAAATTGTTTACAGACAGACGGACAGACAGACGGACAGACGGACGGACGCCGGACGCATTACTATCGCATAAGCTCTTCTGGTCTCTGACCAGTAGAGCTAAAAAGCTACAGAACAAGTCAAATCAAACTAGGAAAACTCTTCATAAAAAAGCTCATAGACATTAGGTAACAAATATAAATACCTGCTTCGGGTGGTCTCCTTCCTTCTGTTTCAAGCATTTTATCTCTTCTCTCCCTCAGATACCCAATAACTTTGTCTATTTCCTCTAAGGTTAACTGACGATTGTCAGCTAACAAGTTTAACAGATACGTTATATCAGGTCCTGGGGGCAGAAAAGGGGGAGGGGCTCGAGCAGAAGGGGGCGGGGCACCTCTCTCGGGAGGAGGTGGGGCCGCCGGTGCGGCTTTCTCTCGAGCTGTTTGCATGTAGGTTTCAAAGCTGCGTCCAACCAATGTTATTGCATCTTCAACCGGCATGTTTCTGTGTTCTAATTGGAAGGAAATAAGATTTTGCAATGAGAGTAATTTGAAAAGACGTGTCCTATTTAGTTTAAGGCATGGATTTATAAAGACGCAAAATCATAACTTACCCACTGCTATTAAAACATTTCAGGAATTAAAGTTTCCGATTGGTGAACTATTTTTTTTTTTTAGCACTTCATGAGGAAGGATTGTTTTTTTTGATAATCATTGTTTTATTTTAATCTGTTTTATTACATTCGAAAGATTCCAATACGGTTGTTTCGCTATTTTGATAGCAATTTTTTTTTACAGGTTTATATTTTCTTCATTTTTTCTTTTAATTTCATTATTTAAAAACTACTTTAATTATTTAAAAATACTGGCTTAATAATCTCATACAATGCATCCACACACATTAAATTCATTTAACTCCTTTTAAGTTTGTTATATATTTTTAGCATTATTTACAAAGAAAGTTAAAATGTTTTAATAACAAATTTGCCATGGTTTTTATCTGAATTATTTTTTTCAGGTTGTTGTCGGCACAGAAAACGGAGTGCTGCTTTGTTTTATAGAGATTGAAATCACTTCCATACATCATTAATCTCTCTTTAAAATATTTACACTGTACATGATTTGATTATTACTTTATAACTGTGACTCTCACACAAAATTAGTCCTTCACTCCCTGTTAACACCAGAATCAAGTCGTTGATCCCTGTACACTTTAAAGTCAAAATTTGAAAGTTGATTTTTTTTTAAATATTTAGAGAAAACTAGTTAATTAGTCTAATTAACAGACTAAGATAGGATTTATGGTTTTAAAAAAATTATAATTGTGCACAAAAAAAAAATACATTTAGGCCTTTACTAATCAACTTCAACTCGATGGTAATCCATAATTTTTGTAACTTCTACAAAGCACTTAAAACACACTTGCATTTATGACTCGTAATTTGAGGACTACATGTGCACAAATTAAGGGAGCTGACTGTTGTTTGGTTTTTATAAGTTGTTTTTTTGGTTTTTGTGTCAAAACTACATAAGAAACACAACTTTTATTTCATTTGTAATGACGAACTTCAGTGAAAATCCATGGTTTCAGGAAAATCTACCATCTTGGTATTTTCAGGTACAATCTTTAATAAATACAATTTCATTTACATTATAGGATTGTTATCCCCTCGCAATATTAACGATCGTGTGTGGGTGGGTTAGTTTGTCGATGCATGCATACCGGAAGTGATGCCATTGGCATCAGGATCGATGTCAGATCTGTTTATTGATATGCCCTTTTGCGAAGGGATGATTCGCTCTGCAGTGTCCTCGTTTTGAGAATTGTTTTTACTACCAGTCAGCCCCCTTAAAATTAAATTTATTTTTTTTCATAGCTCTTTATATTGTAATGAAGAAAATGAACATTTTACACCACACATTTCATTCATTTTATTGTTATCAGCAATAGGTACTGCAGTTCTGTTTATTTTGCTTTGCACTGTCAGGTTGAATTAAAAAAAAAAATCCATACAAAGGTTTCAAGAGTAGAGGTTGAAGTTTAATTTTGTCCGACAAAGTACCCTTTTATAAATGATCTTTTGTATTAATTCTTTAAATATTTTTGTCTAGAACAGACCTTTTTTTCATTTTTTTTTTTTAAAAAGTATATATATACATAATAACATGTACAAAGAACAGCTTAAAATATAGAGTCATACAATATACATTCTATAAATCTATATATTCTATAAATATAATACTATATGCATTTAATAATCTGTCATATACATGTACAAGTACTAAGAATGACAGCCCGTCCCCCACAATTACTCCCAAATTTTTCAAATTCAAACTTACCCTGTGGGGTACCATGCAGGATGTTTAGGGTCAAGGACTGGTGAACCTCATTTTGACTGTTGATGACAATAGCAAACAGATGCCCCCGCTTGGACGCCTCCTCAATCATCTGGGGGATGGTACGGTCCTCCGGTATAACGGTCAACAATGCAGTCATAGACTTAGCAACTATTTTTCTCTCAATAAATTCTCCATAGCCTCTGTGGGAAAAGCACAAATAATACATGCAAGTTATACTTACTGCTTATTACAATTAAGTTACTTTTGTATAGTAGTGCACTAATTTTTTAAGATCTTTGAATGTTTTATTAAATGAAGTAGCCAAGTCTCTTTGAAAATAGCTACTAGAAGCGATATTCCAATGTACTAAACTACAAGAAAATGAAGGTGGAACTTTTTCTTTAGAATTGGTCTCCACATTACCAATTTTTTATTTCATCAAAATTACAATAAAATTTGGAATGCAGTACCTGAAAACTTATGTGCTTGGGTCTTAGAACCGTAACTTAAAAATTATTTAGCCTTAGGTGTAAAAGCTCGAAGATTACAACATTGTTTAATCTTAATCAAACCCCTTACTTCATTTTATTATTAAGCAGGATAACTTCTACGTCTGCGGGGGGAGGCGGTTTTCTGGGGGCGGGAGAATCGTAATAGTCCCTGTAGTATGGGTCTCTGTAGGGATCACCATAGGGTTCCCGTCGGTACCTGTAATGTAAACAGTACTTGTCAATTAGTAATAAGACTTTAACTACGTACTGTATGCAGTGAAGTTTTTGCCCCGTTTTATTTTCGCCTCTTTCACCCTACGCTCATTTGAGCAAATTTAAAACGGTGAATTCAAGATATTCATTATCATTTTTTTTAAACAAACCTAATGACTGAAAGAATTTAAAATGGGGCAAAATTATTTACAGGCTTGAAAGGGCGAAAATAACCCTGTATACAGTATCTGTATCACATTCATGTTTGTAAACATATGTAAGCATGAAGTATTCCATCACAGATACTTTGTAGAAGACTGTTATATAGAATTTCTTCTCTAAAACCCTTAAAATTTCCAATTAAAAGAAAAAGTGGGAGGGGTGGGGGAGTTGATACTGTTTATATTTTAAACATTTATGTTTTTTGTAACATTCCATATATGATACTGTACATAAAATTGCTTTGTTCAATGCTTGTGACATTCAAATGTTTCAACATGTTAATGTGAGAAGTGAAAAATTACTGAGAATATGTATAAATGTTTCTTTGTTACCTTTACAAGCTGAGAAACAAACATTTTATGGTGAATTGGTGATCATGATAGAGACAAAAAGCAAAGCAAGTTTAAATTGGCATGAATTCAATACACATTTTAACTGTAACAAACAGTTTAACTTCCACCACTTTACTTTGAGTAGCATTATTTAGAGATTCATAAGAATGTCAGCATATACATGTAATTTTCAATCCCAAGAATCTTACTGAGTTTAACTAAAAGCATATCATCTGTTCTGGCCAATTTTCTTCAAATGCATACCAGCTAGTGAGTTTACCAGTTAACTATGTAAGTAGTGTTGGCTAGGATCTGGGAAGATCTGTTTGCCTTGAAATATGTATGAAACACTAAGTATTTAACAAACCTGTATGGATCATCTCTGTATCTGTCAAAATATGGGTCATCTGGAGGAGGAGGTCGTCTGTATGGATCTGAGTAATATGGATCGTCTCTTCTGAAAAAGTTCAATTTATTGGAATAATTTAAATAGCAAATGAGAAAATCCAAAAATACATCCAAGAATTGTATAATGCAGAGTATTGGATTTTTAGTAGTTTACAATACACTGTATTTCTTTTTTATTCTACTTACACAGAACTTAGAAACATGATATTAAAGATCAATATTTAAAAAAACAAGAGGCCCACGGGCCTTATAGGTCACCTAAGTATTGTGTAACAACTTTCAAACAATTATATTTGGTTCGTGTTTAAACCGGAGGCCATGAAATTCACAATTTACAATTTTGAAAGAGGCACCATTGCATATCATAATTATTAACTTAGCATGCTTACTCTATTTACATAATACCCAGAGGAAGATCAGAGTAACAAAGAGAAAATGCACTTCCACTTTATAACCAGTTGTGCACCTCACCCCAAAGGAACCACTGACCCAGGGTCATATATTTCAAAATTTTGTAAATTTTCTCATAAAATGGTTGATTAATACCAAAGAGCAGATTTCAAAGCATTAATTTATTTTCAGGCTAATTTACCCCCCCCCAACCCCCCCTTTGTATTAATAACCACTTTTTTGATGCACCTTTCTTCATCATAAATATATATATACTTGGATCATTGGCTTAAAACCCAAAAGCAAAGAAAAATATTTACAAAGAATAAATGTATTTTTACTATATAATCAATAGAGCCCCGACTTAACACCAGAACCCCTGACACTGGGGCCATGAAATTCACAAATCTGGAAGAGGCACTCTTGCTCATCATAACTATGTGCTAAGTTAGTTAATCTAATACCCAGGAGCAGAGAAGAAGATTTTCTAAGAAATAATGCATTTTCACTATATAATCTAAAGAGCCCCATCCTAACACCAGAACCCCTGACCCTGGGGCCATAAAATTCACAATTTTGGAAGAGGCACTCTTGCTCATCATAACTATGTGCTTATTTAGTGTATTTAATACCCAGGAGCAGAGAAGAAGATTTTCAAAGAAATAATGCATTTTCACTATATAATCTATAGTAACACCAAACCCCTGACCCTAGGGCCATAAAATTCACAATTTTGGAAGAGGCACTCTTGCTCATCATAACTATGTGCTTATTTAGTGTATTTAATACCCAGGAGCAGAGAAGAAGATTTTCAAAGAAATAATGCATTTTCAATATATTATCTATAGAGCCCCGCCCTAACACCAGAATCCCTGACCCTGGGGCCATAAAATTCACAAATCTGGAAGAGGCACTCTTGCTCATCATAGCTATGTGCTTAGTTAGTTTATCTAATACCCAGGAGCAGAGAAGAAGATTTTCTAAGAAATAATGCATTTTCACTATATAATCTAAAGAGCCCCATCCTAACACCAGAACCCCAAACCCTGGGGCCATAAAATTCACAATTTTGGAAGAGGCACTCTTGCTCATCATAACTATGTGCTTAGTTAGTGTATTTAATACCCAGGAGCAGAGAAGAAGATTTTCAAAGAAATAATGCATTTTTACTATATAATCTATACAGCCCCGCCCTAGCACTAGAACCCCTGACCCTGGGGCCATGAATTTCACAATTTTGGTAGAGGACTCAATGCTCATTACATTCATGCCAATAGTTTGCCTGCTTGATGTCCAGGAGTAAAGAAGAAGATTTTTAAAGATTTCATTAATTTTAGTGGTTTTGGCCCCACCCCTCAGGCCCCAGGGGGGCGGGGACCATGAAATTCACAATTTTTGTTCCCCTCCACCCATAGATGCTGTATACCAAATTTGGTTGAAATTGGTTCCGTGATTTCAGAGAAGAAGCTGAAAATGTTCAAATGTTAACACACGACGCCGAACGAAAACCGATAGCAATAGGTCACCTGAGTTACTCTGGTGACCTAAAAAGTGTTTCCCATTAGAGAAAAATCAAACTTTACTGCAATGTTTCCTAAGCAATAATTCAGCTCATGCTTTTAGATTCCTGTAATTCCTCATATTTTTTCCCAGGTGGGAACTGTTATGCTTGAATAATTTTTTACCTGTTTGGGAGATTTATGCCTGATGGCAGTTAGGCTGAATTTTTACCAGGGTGAAGACAGTTTATGCCTTAAAAATGTGTTAAGGACAGATGATACAAACAAGTTTTTTCTTTGAAAAAGATTCAATATCATGTCACAAGTTTAGAAAAGTGGATGGTTCTTAGAATTTTTTCTCCAAAGAACTGGAAAATGAAATAGATTTGGAAAATATTAGTAATGTTTCAATAAAAAAACAAATATAGACAAATCACATTCAGTAAAGGTTTACAGTTGAAAACAAATTTCAGAATATGTTACCTTGGTGCTAAAAGTGTAACATAAACTTTAGAAAAATATACCAATCCAAGTGAATTTTAAGAGGAAGACCAAAATGACAAAAAATTAGCAATATCACATAGGCTGATTTTTACCATTGCGCTTTTCCTAATAAAATTCACTTGGCTTGGTATATTTTTCGCACTTTTAGCACCATGGTAATATTCAAATTTTTTTAACCTGTAAACCTTTACTGAATGTGATTTGATATTTGTTTTTTCATTAAAATTATCAATTCCATTCTTAGGTATGTGACATGAGAAAAAACTTTTTCAAAGAAAAAACTTGTTTGTATCATCTGTCCTTAACTGGATGGGGGTAGTTATACCTTAATTTATTACATGGGTTGAGGCAGTTATACCTTAATGAAGTTTTTACCAGGGTTGAGGCAGTCATGCCTTAACTTTTTACCTGGGTTGAGGCAGTTATGCCTTAACTAAATGGGTTGGGGCAGTTGCTTCTTAATTAAGATTTTACCTGGGTGGTGGCAGTGCTGGGTCTCTGTAGGGATCTCTGTATCTGTCCTCATAAGGGTCGCCACGGAGTGGTGAACGTTCACGTCCCTCAAGTGGAGCCCCGGGGGGTGGCCGTCTCCCTCCGGCTGGTGGGGGGTACCTATTAAATTCCAACAAATCCAATTGATGCAAGTTTTTTTAGCTTACGAGTATTCAATTTTTATATGCTTTAAATACATGTATATAAAAAAAATTAAAAATAACTACAAATTCGCTTCATTGCTACAGGATCTCAAACATAGGGAAACATTTCATATTGTCATTGCACATGTTTACTTTATTACAACTCTAGTTTAAAAAAAAACTTATATAGCCGACACAGAAACTGTGAACTTTTTAACAATTTTTTTTAACTTTTGTTCATAATTTTGTTGAAGCTACAACTAAGGCTATAAAAATATGGACAGGAAATTTGAACAAAATGTTGAAGCGGAAAAAAAAATCAAACATGCACTAAAACACTACATTCCAGGCAAAACTAAAATATGCAGTTTTGAACACCAAATCCTCAGAGATGGCAAACCTACTCCGTGTGCGATATACCCTCTGTGTCATAGAAATATATATATTTTTATTTTTACATGACATTAAAAAATCATGTAATTTTATCATTTTAGTAAGATACATAATGCTCTCTAGCATTTCCAACAAAACGATTTTTAAATAATCTTTTTCATTGCAAAGAAATACTGGATGCAAAGTTCAATAATGTTTAGTTTGTATTCTACCACTGCCAACTTGAGCACCCCTCCCCACTTTCTTTACAATGTTGTCTCCCATATTACCCAAACCCTACATCCTGAATGGGACAAAAAAAAATCTGTTAGGCAGGACTTTGCATCACTTTGAAGGACTTTTGCTACAGGAAAAGGTGAAGTCATGAAGATCAACATCTTTGGTTAAATTAACATAGGGAACCAAAATACTGGGAAAGCGCACTGACTTCAAAAAGTCATAATTGATTACAACTAAATATGCATGCAAACAGATCTGTCGAGATTTTGCCATCTCTGGGGGTCAGTAAGGCACACCTTTCTTCTGCTGGTGGCCCGGGGGGAAGCCCTTCTCTACTGCCTGGTTTGGGGGCAAATCTTGCAAAACAAACATTTTTTATTTTTCAAACCAAAAATAGTTACATCTGTATCAATATCAGATAATTCAAGTTACAGGGAAAATATTGTTTTCTTTTAAATCAATTAAACTATCCATTCTTAGCTATAGCTACTATTTTTAAATACCAGTGGCAGGACTTTGCATTACCTGTCTGCGTACGGTCCTGGTGAACCTCCACGAGGACCTGGCCTTGGGGGCGGTTTTCCTCCTCCTCTTCTGCCTTCCAGGGCCATTTTCACGTCTACAACATCAACAGCAAGTCTCTTATGAGACAGTAGCTCTACTGGTTTTAAATTCTTGCTTTAATTAAACATTTAGAGGATTAGCCATGTTAAATATCATGACATTTCCTCGAAAAGTACATATTTATAATGAACCATTTTGATTTAAGTCTCCCTTTAAAAAAAGGAATGTTTTGTGGAAAAGTGAGACTGAGTTCAAAAGCTAACTGAGATTGACATTAAAACTGAACTC